CAGATAGCACGTAAGCTTGCAGCAAGCTTGCCGCGCAATACTGCCAACCTTGCACGGCAAACTTGCCGCAAGATTGCTCGGTAAGCTTGTAGAAAGGTTGATGCAAGGTTGCCAAATAACGCTTGCTTTAAACCTAAAAAAATTTTTATAAAAAATTGTTTCGTTTAATTTATATAATAAAATTGTATAAATTAGACGGAACATTAAAAAAAAAATTTTTTAGGTTTAAAGTAAGGTTATTTGGCAACCTTGCACCAACTTTGCTACAAGCTTACCGTGCAAGCTTATTGAGCAGTAATCTTACACTGCAATCTTTCGGTAAGCTTTTTTTACGTTAATTACGTATCTGATCACGGATTTTCAAAATTAAAAATGGCGGATGCAATATGGCAGACAATTTTTTAAAGAATATTTTTAGATTTTCATGCAAATTAATATCTAGGGGTTTTTGGGGTCGCTGATCACGAATCCTATATCAGATTTTAAAAATTCAAAATGGCGAATGCAATATGGAGAATATTTTTAAAAAAATATTTGATGCGCCATTTTGAATTTTGAAAATCTGAGATCAGATTTGCAATTAGAATTTATTAAAAGTTGGATTACTTGAAATTTAAATTTACACTGAATTGAAATTTGGATGAATTAACCCTTAAACTGATGCTTTAGCGGTCTGTGGGACCCGCTATCTAAAATTATTTCGCTTATTAATTTTTTTCAAAGAACAATAGAAGCTTGAGCTTTTCAGTAGCTTCATATTTTTTAAGAATCTATTAGATGACAATTGACACAAAATTAAAAAAAAAATTGAAAAATCAGGATTGTAACATAAATAAAAATAAAAAAATTGCAACAAAATATTATGGAAATAATCTTTTTAATGTAAACAATAAAAATATATACAACAGTTGTCATTATACATAATTTAAAATCACTAGAAAAACACAAAAAAAAGCGTGATTTTTTTCCAGGGTTTAAACTGCACGTTTAAAGGTTAAAATTTAAATAAAGTATTTGAATTGATTGAATTTACGGTTGATTAGAATTCGAATGAATTAAAATCGTTCTATACTGCAGAATTATCCAAAGTTATTAACATTTTAAAAATAGTAAATTTTGAAGAAAATAACTGTACTTTTTAGTATTAAATATATTAATATAAGTTTTAATATATATATTACATTTATTTTATAGACGCTTTAAAAACGTATCGATTAACCTATATTCGAATCTTATCTGTGATTAAAAAGACATTAAAAAAATTGATTTTTTTAAGTCTCATTTGTAAGAGTTAAGTTTTGATATCTTGTTTGAACTCTAATAATATATATTTTTTAAAACTGCATCGATTTATTAATTTTTTAATTTAAGCGACTTAATTATTTTAATTAGATTTACCCTTTATCCATTTAATGCCTTTGGTATTTTTCATAAAAGTCAATAAATTATTCAATATAAATAACAATGGAATATGTATGTCATTCATATATTTGATTATAAATGGACGGTATATCAGCGGTTTAAATTATAAGATATGTGTGTCTAAACTTACACGGTATTTGGTAAAGGTTTTATTGACGGGCCCCCTATAAACTCAGGGTATTAATGTGGTGCAAGAAAATAGGGTGCCTAATGGTACATTCAATGGTCTTATATACTGTAGGGCGAGGAAACGCATTGCTACTTCATTTATAATTTACGTGTGAGTCAAGCGCGCACATCGTACTGAATATGCAGTAATTTTCCAATAATAATTCAATTTTAACTTCTATATACCGCACTCATCTCCAAGGGTATAAATTTAATTATTTCTTTAATTTAGAGGCTTCGGAAAAATTAATTCGCAAATATTATGTAAAGATTAAATGTACATTTATTTTTTACAATTTATTTGGGATCTGCATGATTATGTTCTAAAAATTATTAGTTAGAATTTTCATTTTATGGAATTTCATTTCGGATAAATGAAAATTCTATCAATTAGAAATTCTGTCAAATGATTTTTCGGTTAAGTATAGAAATTCTGTAGTATGAAAAATCCGTTATATCGAAATTATATCAAATAATAATTCGAACAAATGAAAATTCATCTGAAAGAATAAAATGAAAATTCTATGCAATGAAATTCTACACAATAAAAATTCTTTAAAATGCCTATTACGTTAAATGAAATTCGTGCAAATAAAAATTCGGCTCAAAAATAATTATGACAAATGAAATTCTATAAAATGAAAATTCTAACTAATAATTTTTAGAACATAATCATGCGTCTCTTTTTTATCACTTTAAACTCGATAATAATATTGACACAGAATTAAGTTAAAAGAAGAAAATTAAATTTTCACTTACAAAAGGATTCTATAAAAGTCCCATAATTTTTGAGTTGAAAAAAAACAAGTTGTCAATTCAGATGTTCATTACATGAACATTTTGCTTCCAAAAAAATTTGCTTCCTTGTGGAGAAAGCAAAATTTTATTGCCAAAATGTGAATTTTTTATTTTTTAAATTTCATTAATTCTTTAAATTTACCTCAAATGTATACTTTATATATATATATCGATCGATTCGTCTTGACGTAAGGAATACGATTTTATTATATATAACCTTAAATTTTTCTATTTAATAAATAAATAAAGAAAAAAATTTGTTTTCGCCACTTTGAAAAGTTTTATAAACGAAAGGACTATAAAGCTTCCTCCACGAGGAAGCAAAATTTGTGGAGTTAAAATTTTACTCAGTGAGGAGTTGACAAGGAATTCATAAAAAATTCTTATTAAACTAAAATAGTGGTTATAAATAAGAAACAGTCATACATAATAAATTGATTTCGAAAACGTGAATACTCCATTTATTATATAATTATTCCTTGAAATTCATAATATATATATATATATATATATATATATCTGTTGTTGTTTATAAATACAATATGTGCACGAATGTCTATTTATATGTTTACATTAGTTTGTCTATTAAAAAATAAACATTTAAAATTTCATAGAGAAAATGTTACTATATTTAGTGAAAATTTAAAAAAAATGGCTTTCTTTTTTTTTGAAATCTGATAACATTGAACAGTATATGTACTTTAAAGAAATGGCATTGTTCTTAACAAATATCCACCGAATAAACCTCATATATATAATTTACTAAATTATTTCTTTATTTATACATTATTTTACTTCTGTAAAAAATACTGAAAAATGTTTATTTTTTAAGAATGATTCTAATGTATTGCATAAATATATTATATATTAATCTTTAGATATTATATACATTTTCAATTGATTACATTCATATATATGTATATAAGTTTAATTATTCTTGATAGAGTATTAAGAAAAATCATTTTTAAATATCATAATGCCAACAATAAAATTGATTCGTTATTATTATTATTCATGATTCGTTATTCGTATGGTAAAAAAAAAATCAATACTTGTATTTAAAATTATAAATGACAATCCAATTAATAAAAAAAAAGAGAATAATAAAAAAGTTATTGATTTCAATAAAATCGTAAATTGTAAATTTAGGTTGATGACTTTATCAAATTACAATATGTAATAAAAGACTTGATGAAATAATTATATCAATAAAGAATATAATCGATGACCTAGCTATACATTTTCTTTTTTAATTTTTTACTTCCGGACATTTATAATATCGATTAATAACAATATGATACAATACGATTAAATATTTTTAATAACAATATACGAATATAATAATTATAATTTAAACATAATAACACAATTTTTATTCTATAAAACATACCAAAAAAGGTAATACATTTTAACAATAAGTTAAACAATAATAATAAATATGAAATGAAAGAAATTCTACAGCCTTTGCTAAGTGAAATTTTTACGAATATTTTTTTTTTTTATTTTGGATTATACGTTAGTACTAACTAATTAGAAATTACAACTTTGAAGAATTACTTCTAAATAACAAAAAGTAATAAATGATTGATTAAATCGCAAATATGAAATTATGTTTGAAAAAAAAAATTTAATTTTGAAGAAGAAGACAGTATGATTTTAACTAACATGAAAATAGTAATTTTTTCTAGATTTGATAAAACTTTTTTTCAAAAAATCGTCTCAAATTAATTGGCATAAAAAAAAATTTTCCCTAATTATTATTCAAACAACGTTTTCTTCCCTTTAAAGTTCAATTTTATAATTAGTGTTCTTTTATCTTCAAATAACAAAATAACTATTTGAAGCGTATTATTTATTAAAGGACTCATTCATAATTAATAAGTCATATAATATATTTGCTAAAAATACTTCAATATTTAATTAATTATATGCATTTTAATTAAAAAATTATAAAAACTATATAAGTCGGACACTGCTACTATTTTCGGACATAAGTCAGACATTATGAATTTATATAGAATCATGTATCCATTGACCATGAATAATAAAAGAACCCATTAGGCTACAATTATATTTCTCATATATTCTTTATTTAAAAAGTCGTTTTTGCTTCATTAGTTTATTTATAAATTAATCAAGTAAAGAAGAAAATATTTTTATTATATTAAATAATAATTTAATTATTCTCTCGATTAGAGAAAAAAAAAATATATCAATTTTTCTTAGTTGAAACCATACGGTCCCCTTCAGGTATTAATTATCATTTACGAAATATATAATCAAACAAATAAATTAATATCAAATAGTTAAATATATTAAAATTTCAATTTTTGAGGTACATGGAAATGAACTTATACTATATCTAACAAGATCAAAATAAATATTTGATTTTTTCATTGACTAAAAGAAAAAGTTGTCGATACTAGTTGGTTAGTTCTAACAAACTTTATAATATATTTTTTACAATCTTTTCTATAATTTAATAAAAAATAAAAAATATTTTAAAACTATGTTTTAAAATAATTTGTATCTGTCATTTGATACATATTTTTTAATATTTTACTTTCTCTGAAATTTGATATTCACAAAAAAGTTCACTAATGAGAAATATGAGACTTAACAATAAACAAACAAAAATTAAAATTAAAATATGATACAAGAAATTTCACAAACCGTCATCAATGCATTTTGTACTTAACAATTATAGTTTACTATATATCCTGCATATTGTCAATGATGACAGCATTCTTTGGAAAATGGAACATTTACCTAAACTTTCAAAATATTGTAAATATTTATATAATTCATTTGTAACAGAAATAAAATGGCACAAGTTGTCACCTTTTTTTTTTAAATTTAATACATTATATGTAAAAAGGTGAATAAGTGCATTATAATAATTTAAACATTAAATCGAGTTTCAGAACCGTCAGCTAACATTAATGTTACCGTACGATTGTTAATCCAAATGAGACGTGCTAAACGCATTGGATTCAATCTCGTCACATCGTTAATGGGAGCAGTGCTATATGATTTCACGCAACGTGTTTGAGAATTGCCAAGGCCGAACATACCACTACTTGTTTGCTAAAAATTAAATATTTTACTTATTTATAGGTGTTAATCCTTTATATTTCAGCTAAGGTCGTTGTGGAATACTTTTAGAGAAATTTTATAATTCCCAATAATTATTTTTTATATTCGTACAATTTTCAGGCCTCGGATCGACTTTAAGGTACAAAAAAGTCGTTTTAATCGATTTAAATTCCAAAAAAAGTCGATTTTTTTTATTTTAACAAAATTTAATTGGTTAATAAATATTTTACTTTAAATAACTAATGTTATTAGATATTAAATTCATTTTATTAATTCTGTAATGAAAATAATTCTATAAAAATACACTGCGACCTGAGTTTAGCGGCAGGTTTGGTGGGTCGTTCGCTAAACTCAGTAATGAGATTTCCCGAAATCGACGTCAGCAATCAGGGCCGTACGAACTACTTGAAATACGAAATCCTTAAACTCTTTTCTTGAAAATTCTTCATCTTATAATACATAATATTTTTATTGCAATAATTATTATAATTATATTTTAATTTTTAGATTTTATTATCATTATAAACAGTAATAAGTAATACTTAAAATTACTTTTAATAAAAATTCAAATAATTGTACTGATATCAGACAAGAAAGGGGAAAAACTCACCATTTGCCTTATAAATTTTAAATTTATTTGAAATTAAATAATATAAATTTCATCAAATATAACATTGAGAGCAAATATTAAAATTAAGATTTTCATGAAGTAAATTTATAAATTTGCTGGGAGTGAAAACAAAAATAAAATTTGTATACATGTATATAAATAAGCTTTTATAATTTAACAAATTTTTTATTTAAAATTAAAGATTAAACTCATTTTCAACTAGAATGAACCGCGTTGCCTTACTTCTACGCTCCTGCTCGAGTCGGAGCATCTTACGCTTACCGCTTAATTACCATCCTATTGTTGCCGATTCCGAGATTTCGCTAAACTCAGTTTCGCTAAACTCGGGTCGCAGTGTATTATAAAGAAAATTTATTTCAAATACTTATTTCAGAATCGAACTAATTGTAAGACAAATTTTCAAAATTTTATTTAAGTAGGACAAATTTCTAAAAAAAAAGTCTTAAAAGTTCAATTTTTTTATAATTTTTTGAAATCTGATTTAAGGGTATGTGGAAACCTCCCACGTGACCTAGTATGGGAAAATGTGTTTTGGTAGCATAAATTTCACTCTAAAATGAGAAAAGATTTTTGTCTAAAATTTTGAGGGATGATAGATTTGGGTTCAAGGAATCTCGCTGATCTCCGAAAAATACATAATTTTGCGTTAAATTATTAAAAAATGAAGTTTAAAAAGTGTGATTTTTAAACGAAAATGAAAAGAAACATGGCGGCGCATACACAGACGTTGCTTGCGTGCGCCAGTGCTCCAGTAAACAGCGCCAATTCGAGCAAGTGGCCGCTGCATCAACTATGATATAATACATTATTTTACTATTTATTGCTTTATTTTTATTATTTTTGCATTAAGTTATGGTAAATGAGTAGAACAGCGAGATTCCTTGTACCAAATAAAATCATTTCTCCAAATTTTAACCCGAAATCATTTTTTATTTTAGAGAAAGTTTCAAACCACAAAAAAAGTCTTTTGCTTACATACCCTTAAGTAATTTATCCGAATTTAAAATTTTGTCATAGTTTTTAGTTTTTATGGTCAAAAAAAATTTCAAGCAATTACTTAATCAAGTTTTACAGATTTTTAAATAAAAAATATTTTTTTAAATAATAATTTTGAACGAGTTAAAAATGAAATTTTTAGAAATAATTGAATTTCAAAAGATTTTTTTTAGACAATAATTAAATTTTACAAAACTAAAAATAATTTACATTTTTCAAAAATAATTGAATTTTCAAAGATTTACAATTTAGATTTTTGAAATTAATTGAACTTCAAGTAATTTTTAAATTTAATGTTTTTTTAATGATTTTAGTTACTAAAAAATTTATTAGAAATTGCAGACAAAAATACAATAATTTGAAAACTTTTTAAGTAAAAAATGGTTTCAGATAGTTGAACTTTCGAAGAATATTATAAAATTTATTAAAAATAATTGAAATTTTTGAAAATAATTAAATTTCCAGTGATTTTGAATTAAAAATTTTTGGTAATTTTATTTGCTAATTTTTTTTTAATATTATAAACAATTATTTTTCATAAAAATTTTAATTGAAAAATAGTTTAAGGTAATTGAATTTGTGAAGAATTTCATTAAAATTATTAAAAATAATTAATTTAGTAAAAAATTTTTGTTAAAAATTTGTTAAATAATTGAAATAAAGATCTGAAGATATGCATTGTATACTAAAAAAACGTATTTTGTTTAAATTTTTTTTTTAATGTAAAAAAAGTCGTATTTTTGAAAAAAAAGTCGGAAAAAATCTAAATAGTCGTATAATCCGAGGCCTGCATTTTTGACAATTATTTAAAATTATCAAATTATTAATATATATATATATATATCCTGGTTAAACTAAAATTTTTAATACCTATTTCAAAACAAAAATATTTTTGAATATTATAATAATTTAAGATTTTGTTTTAAAATTTAAAATGATTTTTAGATGGAAAATTGTTGCTGGACATAAATCAATAAACTATTCCAAGTGGTATTTACAACTTGATTAAAATATAAAAATTTACAAATTCCTAAACAAAATTCATATTGAAAGAAATTTTTCGCACAGATAATTATTTTTGAGAATCAAATTCTTAAATTTTAAATATCATTAATCATCTTTAAATATGATTGCAAATCGAATAAAATGGTTAAGATAATTGAAATATATTCCCCCCCCCCCAAAGAAAAATTATTAATGAAAAATAGCTTACCTGCCAGAAGCAGAGTTTATTTTCAGAACAAGAATAGCTCACTAGAAATTTGCCATCTGGTGAAAATGCTAAGGCAGTGACTGGTGCTTGATGAGCTGATACTGTTTGGCATTTAACATTTCCACGTAATTCATAAAGAGCCAGCTGACCTCCTCGTCCACCTACTGCAATTCGGCGTGTTGCTGGACAATGACTAACCTGTATTTAAAAAATTAATCAATCACAATTATTGTTCTTTTCATAATAATTTTATCATTCTATTATTAAGAGAGTTGAACGGTCTCTGAAATTCTTTGACAAAGAGAGAACTTTAATTATCGCCCTATAATAACGGCATTGAACGTGATAATGATAAACATTGATTTTAAATTTAATTTTTTCTCGAAATATGGTGACTTTTTTACTAAATCCGAAAGATTGTGCGAATCCATACAAATAGGTTTGCGATTTCAAAACGAAAAGTAGGAAAGTAATATAACGACAGGGTAATTACGTCATGCCGCCGTCAGATGGCAGAAGCATGCAGGGAGCACAAAGTCGTAGCTAATAGAGCATTCAACGTGAGATTTTCTTAAAAAAATTTTTTTTACTTGAACATTTTTTTTCAAAATCTTTATAAAAAAGATTTATTCTCTTTTTATTTTTTGATTTGTTAAAAATTATGGAAGACTATTTTTGCATAATAGGAAAGAAATTCCTTATTTATCAGAGCCAAAGAATTTCAGAGACCGTTCAACACTCTTAAGGAGGATGAAGACCTTAAAACTGAAAAATGGTTTTTAACGCAAACAAAATTTTAATAAAAATTAATTTCAAATAATTTTGGAAGATCTAGTTATACACTATTCGGAAAAAATTATATTGAGTAAAAATCTTTTGTTAAATAATTATTTTTTGTAATATTATGACTTTTTTCAGAGTAGAAAAAAATTGCAATAATATCCAATTTCTTTAAACAATAACTTAATTTACTCAGTGAAACATTCTCTAAAATCGTAAACTTTTTTCAGCTGTTAAAAGTGTTAAAAAATTATTTATTAGGACCTCCATCCCCTTTAAACATATTTGATACTAATATAATAATAAAATAATGAACATACTTGATTAAATCTACAAATTGCTGGGAAAACTTCATTTAATGGTTTTGTTTTTAAATGTCCAGGATCAAGACAATGAAGAATTATGTCCATCACCTATAAATTAAAAATTTTTCAAATAATTTATCAATAATGAGAAAGTTTAAATTTTTTGAAATTAAAAATTTACCTCAACAAGAAGATCGCTCATTTCACTTTGCATTTTTTCTATCAATTCCTCTACTAATTTCAATATTTCAGGTTTTGCACGAGCTAATACACTAGCACCTAGATTAACATTGAGAGTTTGTGCGTTTTGTTGCATTGTATTGAATCTAGCAACTTCTCTCGCCATTGTTGTAATAAAAGCAGCAGGTCTTGCTGTTGCTATTAAAACCAAAGCTCGTCGAGCTGTTCGACATGAATCAGCTTGAGGTGTCAAAGGAAGACCGTAAGTCATATTAGGCACTAATTTATCAGCATCGCAACACATCTCAAGAAGACCCAATAGAACCTACAAAAAGAAAAGTTAAAACACAATTCTCATTTAAAAATTTCCTTTCGGACGTTATTTTAATAATATATATATTATTACTTTAGAAACATCCAAATATGGTTCCCACACAGTGAATCCACGTCCTATGAGATCGATGGCTGCTCTTCTCAAAGCAGTATGCAAAGGTAATTTTGGTGAATGAGGTGCATGTAATAAATGAGTGAGTGCCATACTTGTGTGCCTTGCAAGATTATTATTTCCGATTCCAAAACCTTCGACAACAGAACTTCTTCGCCTTTGTTCATTATTATTTTTTCTTTGGTTTGTTGTTGCAACATCTTGACCAAATTCAGCACCAATCACACCTAATAATACAACAGCTGTTGTTTGTTTTCGTTTAAGTTCAGCTACACTCGAAGGTTTTCTCGATACACTAATTTCTGTAAAAAGAAGAAAAACTAGGTGTTCATATTATGAACATTTTTGTGGTAACCCTACTAAAAAATGAATTATAACTAAAAAAAATTAAAAAAACAAGTTTGTTAATATTTTTTAAAATAAAACTCGAAATTCTGGAAAAATTAACATTTGAACTTCTCTCATAATTTCTATTATTTTTCATTGATGATTTTTTTTATATAAGCTTTTTTCATAATTCTGAATAATTAGTATGAATTTTGAAAAATACCTTCAGCTAATTCCTCTTCTTCGTCCTCCTCTTCAGTTGGAACATCATTAGGTGGAACGGGACTGCCAGGAGGTGGACTTTGATTTTGAGATTGTGGAGCAATTGGCTCTTGGGTGCTGTACTGCGGTAAATACTGTGACCAATTGTCGACTAATGATTTTCTACCCTTTGGACCCATTCTTCCCAATTCTGCGAGTAAAAGGGCCTGAGCAGCATGTCTAATCTATAGTAATTAAAATAAAAAATTATATAAATTCTTTTTTAAAAAAAAAAGAAAAACTATTTTAATAATTATAGAAGGGAAAAATTCGAGATATTTTTAAAATGTTGATATTTTTTTATGTAAATAATTTTATAATTTTCCGTGTTAAATAAAAATTGATTTCTAATTGTTAACTATAAATGTTGCGTACTTCAGAATCGTTGAATTTTAAGTTAACTTTTAATGCAATTTTAAAACTTTTTTTAATTTAATTTTCTCAATTATGTTAAATAATATTGACAGAATGATCCTTTTTATAACATTTTTAAATAAATTTTACAGTTTTGATGTCTGTCGAAACGTTAAATAGTTTGATTTTTTTAATCTTATACTTTCAACTATGACTCGGAAATATCTGAAATTTTTTTTTCCATAATATTCTATATTTATATATGTTAATAATTGTCTGCAATAAATACTTCTATACATTGATGTTGCCACCTTCGTGCCATCATTTCAACTTGAGGTCGTTTAAACGTTTTTGCCCCACCTTGAATTGCTACTTTATCCGGTAGTAATACGCAATGTAATGTTGCTAATAAAGACCAACCCTGTTTTATTTGCGCCTGAGTATTTGTATACAAATCTTCATTTTCCTCCTCAACTTTGTTCCAATTTACCGTAACTCTATTACCTGGTCTTTATTTAAATCGACATATATGAATATTAAACAAATTACACGTAATTTTAATCGAAAAATAAAAGGAAATTTCTCTATTTATTATAATACCTGTGCATTTTTCGTTTTTGTTCTTGTTCTGGTACAAATGTTGCATTATTCATCGACATCAGAGTATAAGCTAAAGCAACAACCGCCAACAAATGATTACTAGTTAATGTTGTTGACAATTCCCAATGTGCTCTTGAAGTAAATGCTCTAGTTAATCTTTCTTGTTTTACAACTTCAGGCGGTAATCTTTGCTCAATTTGAGTCGCTGGCTCTTCATTTGGCTCCAAATGAGTTTGCCATGTAGGAAGTAAAAATGACATATAGCCTGGAAATAAAATGTTTTAATAAATTTATATCATTTTATCGAATAACAAATAAAACAAATTTATTTCGAATATTTCAGAATCAAACTATGACAAATTTTGCAAAATTTTAATTAAGTAGGACAAATTTCTAAAAAAAAGTCTTAAAAGTTCCATTTTTAAAATGTTTTGAAGTTTGATTTAAGCAATTTACTCAAATTCAAAATTATGATATGTTTTTACACTGAAAAAAAAATTTATTTGATTCAAATACTCGATTACTTGACTATTATCAAATAAATATTTACTTGAACCAAATAATTTTTATTTGAATGAAATAAATTGTATTTGAACCAATAATTTCTGTATTTGAGCCAAATACCATTTAATTGACTCAAATAATAATTATTTGATACAAATAAATATTTATTTGATAATAGTCAAGTAATTGAGTATTTGAATCAAATAATTTTTTTTTTAAGTGTAGTTCTAATGGTCAAAAAAATTTCGGGAAATAATTAGGTTTTACAGATTTTTAATTAAAGTTTTTATTTTTTAAATAATTGAATTGCAAAAGATTTTAAATTTGAAATAAATTTTCTGCAAATTTAAAATGATAAAGTTTTTTTTTTATTTTCTAACAACAATTCAATTTTAGAGTTTGTATTTGAAATTTTTTAAAATAATTGAATTTTTGAAAAATATTATAAAAAACATTTAAAATAATTTAATTTTGGAAGAGTTAAAGTTGAAATTTTTAGAAATAATTGAATTTCAAAAGATTTTGTAAAGTTTTAGACCATAATTAAATTTTACAGAGTTGAAAATAATTTACGAATAATTAAAGATAACATTTTACAACTCAAATTTTAAAAAATCATTGAAATTATTAAATTTAAAATAATTGAATTTCGAAAGAGTTATAGTTAAAATTATTAAATTTCAGAAAGTTTTACATGAAAAATTTTAGAAATAATTAAATTTTAGAAGTATCTGAATTGAAATTTTTGGTAATTCTATTTGCCGACTTTTTTAAAAATTTTAAACAATTATTGAATTTCATAAAATTTTTAATTGAAAAATAGTTTAAGATAATTGAATTTTTTAAGGATTACATTACATTGAATATAATTAATTTAGAGAAGAATTTTAGTTAAAAATTTGTTAAATAATTGAAATAAAGAAGATTTGAAGATTTGTATTATATACTAAAAAAGACGTATTTTAAAAATTTTGCCTGCATATATGAAATCCATACACATAACTTTTTTCGAACTTACCACCTTTTGATAAAACGCCAAATGAAACAGGAACTTTAGGCATTAATAATCCTAATTTACTTTCACAAACACGATCAAGATCCGGATCCATACCCCAAGCATGTAAGAGACTCAAAAGTAATTGAGCAATTTCCATTGTTGCATTAGATTCACCAAATGTGCCATTTCGTTTTAAAGAATTTTTCGGCGTGTCATTATTCCAACCATCGCCTATAAATTAATTCAAATACAAATGTAAAAATACTATTTTCATTAAGAATAAATATAAATTACACATGAAAATTAATAGACAAAAAATAAATTGTGCAATTGTCTATTACGGCGTGCTAAAAAACAAAATAAAATTATACAATTAAATTGAAAAATAATATTTAAATATATATGTATAATATACGAACTATACAATATATTTTCTAATTGTTAAACGCAAATAAAATCTTATCACAGATTGCTGTAAAACATAAAAGTATAAATTGAATAAAGCAATATAAACACATTTAATAATATTTATTATACTAAAGCCTGTAATTAAATGAAAGCACTAAAATTATACAAAAAAATAAATATTATCTACATTTAATCATGCAAATTCTATTATTAATTGTGACAACACAAATATGAGTACAAAATTAATGAAAGAAAAATTGATCTAAAAAAATGTAAGTAAAGGAAGGAATGTGAACTTTTTTTTTCCAAAGGTTGGTTATTCATGCACTGGATCTGAAAATACGAAACATTTCATTTGCAATATAATCTAACCTTTACCGTCAAGATTTGACGGCTTCAGACCAACACTTTCTGCCTTGGCCTGTAATTTTGTTTGAACATTTTCAGCACCTTCCTTCATTTTAGCCAAAATACCTAGAGAAGAAGATTCTCCTTAAATGTAACCGTATTTCATAAAGAAACAATGGAACTACTTTTAAGTATTTTTTTTTAATGAAATAAGAAAAGAAAAAAAATATGTAAAACAGATTCACAATGTTAGTAACATGAAAAATTGAAATATATAACTAATTGAATAATACCGTGACGATCTTTCTCCTTCAGGATTCTTTCAACATCGCCTGCTTTATCCTTGACGCGACCGAAAAAGTCTACAAAGTAAGATTAGTGTTTTGTTAAAAAAAAAAAACCCAACATGCTTAAATGAAAGAGGAATGAATGGATGGAATTTTTATATTATTTAATAGCCCTAGTCAGTTGATCTCACCTGCAATTTTTTTATGAGTATCAGGACTTGCTGATCGTGTTAAAGCAGCAACTTTTTGATATTCCGAAGCTGAAATTAAACCTTGCGCTTCTAAAGATCCAGGAGTCATGGCACCATACTCATCACTCAATAATTGTACTGCATGGACATTTAAAAAAAAGATATAATACACGAAATGAAATTATTAATTATTGTCAATTTTAGAAGTTGAGAATTCTCATTTTCCTATAAAGTCATGGAAGTGTATCCTGTAATAGAAAAGCAAATAAATAATATACAATATTTAATAATTTACCTATGAGACCTTCAATGTCGAAAAAGAGTATATGACTTTCTGGATCTTTTGGATTACTCCTGAATCCTTGAATCATTAATGGAGCACCTTTTGCTTTAATTTGATTTCCATGATCATTTCCATGGCCTCCGTGAAGTTGTTGAAGTTGATGTAATCCTCTTTGAGTCGCGTGTCGAATAGCAGAAAGATTTCTGTGTCTTAAGCCTCTGAAAAAATGAACAGCTGGATTTGCCAATCCTAATTCACCTCCCGTTCCCGTACCACCACTATTTGCCAATGAATTCTCATCACAAGCATATAATACTTCTTCTGCTATTATACCTTTAAACAAATTATAAAATTATAAAATCCTCAATTAATGTCTTATAAAATTAATAAATTTTTATTTACCATGAAGAACACGATCCAAATGACCTGTTTCCATTTGCCAAACATAAACAGCTCCATCGGAACATCCGACAATCATAAAATCATCAAGTGGTCGCCATTTAATAGTGACAACAGGAAAGAGATGACGAGATGCTAATACGACACATTTTCTTTCAGCTAATGATAATAAAGTTACACTGTGATCTGATGCGACGCTACAAACACATTTTTGTATTCTAGGCTGCAAAGGAATATAGTGACGAAATTAAAACAAGAATAAATCATATTTTGGTGATTAGAGATAAAGTGATTGCATACACTGCAGTTGTCTGGTGGTACCATCAGTTGTGTAATTTCACCAGCATGAACACAAAAACGGTGAATTAATGTACCTGAATACAAATCCCACAAACACACAGCAAAGTCAACAGAACCAGAAACTAAATGAGCTCGATCGTAACGATTAGCTGCGCCATGTGGATATAAAAGACAATTCACTCTACCAGAATGGCCCAGAAGAACCTGATGTGGTGGCCAGTCTATAAATCATTAAATTAATTTTTTTTTTTACTTTCTATATATAATAATTTCGTGTAAAGGTTAAAGCTTTATGGTTTGATTATGCTTTTCATTTGAGAAATTTAAGAAAATTATTAAAAATATCTAATAAATTTAAAATTTAATTATTGAAACGAAAAAGTACCTAAAATTTCAACAATCAATAAATCTATTAAGAAAATGAATAGAAAACAAATTTTGAAAAAAAATTCAAGGCTTTTTCAAAATTTTCAAAATTACAGAAAACATTAAGAAAAAAAACAGGACAATTTGAGATAGAAAAATAGAAAAATTTAAAAAAAAAACAAAAGAAACTTTAACAGAGAAATCGAGAATTTTAGAAATTTATATAATGAAAGGAGAAAAATTGATAATTTTGGGCCACTTTGTAATAATAAATAAATTAATTAAATGATTTACAAAAAAATAAATATTTATTTATTTATCAATTAAACGGGGGAAAATGTTTTAAAAAACGAAAATTTTAGAAAAATGAAAGCAAATTAAAAATTTAAGAAAATAAAAAGTAGAAAAAATTGAAAGTAAAAAAATGATAATTTTAGGAATTTCAATTACGAGAATTTAGAGAATAATTTGAAAAAAAATAAAAACCATAAATTTTCAAATTAAAAGGAGAAATCGCGTAAAAATTGACAAACTTACTAGTTTGTAAAAGTAAATAAATTTTATAAATTGCAAAAAAAACGTAAATCTAAAAGAAAAATCACTTTAAAAAAGAAAATTTTTAATAATAAAAAGGAATTAAGAAGCAAAAAAGCTATTAGATATTAGAAAAAAGAAATAAAAAAAAATCTAAAAAATCTTCGAGTTTTAAAAAAATTAGAATTTATGATAAAAAATCAAGATCTTTGTTTCGTTTGAAAAAATTAATAAATGGTTAGGAATTTTCAAAAAAAAATTTTACTGAATGCAATTAAATATCCTGTTAGAAAATTTTAATAATTCAAGGTTTTGTTATAAAATTCAAGGAATTTCAAGGTTCAAATTTGAATTAAAAAAAATTTCAAGAGTATATATAAATTTACAAAAAATTTCAATCTCAAATTATCTAAAATTCAATTATTTCCTGTTAATTTTCAAAATGTCAATTATTTTGATACATTTTCAAAAATTCAAAGTGATTAAAATATTTTCAAGGTAAAAAAAAATGCAAGAGAATTCAATGTTTTTAAAGTTCGCTGGACAATTTGATTTTTAACAAATGAAAATTAATACCTTATAATAGAAAATCTAGGTTTATAACATTTTTTCAGCACATTTTTTTTTAAATTCTCTAACTGCCTGAATAATTTAAGATAGATTCGGTGAATAATAATTATTATTATTATTATAAATACATACCCTCGTAGTGTTGATGATTGCCGTGAAGTAATTGCAACATGACTGTTTGTGTTGCTGGCACAATAATAATACTACCATCCTCTCGACCAACAACCAATCTACTTTGCTGTGGTAAGTATATACTGGCAGTGAGTTTAATTCCATGTCCATCATTCATATCTAATTGATCTAATATTCCTACAGGTGGTGGTTTCATTGATTCCCATGCTGCAGCAAGACTTGTTTTTATAGTTGGAGACAACACTGGTGTTGCTGTTCCGTCATTGAAATTGTTTGCTTGAGGCATTTGTTGTGGTGAGCTATCAGGCACAGTCCAAAGAACCACGACACCCTCGCTATCACCTCGTAGTAGATATTTCGAACTTTTATTTTGTCGTTGAACTGTTACTAAACGCATAGCAGGCGGACAGGATAACGGCTATAAATTTTTAAACAATTATTATTATTATTATTTCTAAAACAATATCTCTTAATAACAATATTTACAATTCTCAATGATTCTCATATCAATGATTATGGTTGGGTGGCCACTAAAATTTGCAAATAAAATTCAAGGCATTTTAAAGATTGCGAATTATCAAAAAATATGTTAGAATGAAGTTTTGAAAAAATGTTATTCAGCAAAATTATGTAGTATAATTTTTACTTTATCAAAATTATATTTTGAAAATTAAAATTTGTCCTACATGGTTTCAAATCAGAAATTATTACTTATTTTGGAAAATATTAATATTTGAGAAAAAAAAAACACGGAGAGAATTTTTAGAGCTTTCCTTGTACTGTTGAGCACAATTTTTAATTTTTAGAATTCGTATTTTTTTTAATAAATCAGTTATAAAATTTGTTTTCACAAATTCTTAGTTTTTCATTTTTTCAAGAAACATTTTACTTTGAGGTAGACCAAAATTTTAGAACAATTCATCACAAGTTTCAGCTTAAAAAGAAAATCAAAATTCAAATTTTTAAAAAAATTTCAATGTTGAATTAAGAATTTAAGGCGAATTAACGGTTTTTTCAAGGCGTAACTAAATTCACATAGTTTTTCCGGTTTTCAAGATTCAATGGCCACCCTGTATGATTAAGAAGATCAAAAATTAAATATTGTGCAATTTATAAACTACAAAAATGTATTTGATCCAAATAATCGATTACTTAAATATTATCAAATAAATATTTACACTTGAACCGAATAATTTTTATTTGAATGAAGTAAACTATTTGAAGCAATAATTTCTGTATTTAAAACAAATACAAATATAAATTGACTCAAAAAATAATTATTTCATAAAAATAAATATTTATTTGATAATATAGTCAAGTAACCGATTATTTGAATGAAATAATTTTTTTTTTTCAGTACAGACAAGTTTGATTTTATTTAATAAGATAATAATGAAAATACCTTGTCCCCTGGTTGCGTTAAGGTGCAATACAAATACGGTTGATCGGAATCAGTTGACGCTGTATGAAAGTTTTGATTGTCCGCAACACTGCTGATAAATTAAAGTAATGTATTAAATTTCTAAAATAAATATATCTATTTTTTGTATATTTCATTATTTTGTTAATTGATAATATAAGATTTAGAAGAAAGCAAAAAAGCGTTTGCATTTTATATTTAAATAAACTCAGTATTATGCGGATAATTTTATTCGCTAAAAGTTTTTAAAATTAATTATATATATTTTTTGCATATTAATTCCCCAATAATAGTATTATAACTTTAAGATAATTTAACAAAAGCATACCCATATTAGCACACTCGCAGTTGGTGCAATTGCACAACCAGAAGCTACAATACATGTACATAAAAGTGTCATAAGTACTACTTTATATTATCCTTTATACTAAATTTTTTTTTTGTTTTCAGTTTATTAAAATTCCACACACATAAAAAAAAACACACACACACACACATAGTATGTATTTATGTAGACATCTGTAACAACGAAGGATTGCATTCAATAAAGAATAGGTATTGTTCGACGTCTATTGAAAACTTATATTTTCTTTTAAAAATAGAACGCGAAATATTAAAAAATATCTTTTTTTCTCTAATCAGTTCATTGAATCACAACAGATTTTCTAGTTTTCAATAATTTGACGAAAAACACTTATGATTTCAAAGAATGAGCAAAGCAAATAAAGCTACATGATTATAATTAATAAAATAAAATGATTTACTTTAAGATGATAAAATTTATGAGCAATGATGACAATAAAAATCGAACAATGTGCAAGTAAATGAAGACTGGAATGATGAAGGGTTAAAAGATACATTATCTGGTCTTATATTATGGAAATCAAAAATTGTAATTTATTTTTCTATTTATATAAAAAAAAAAAAAAAAAAATTCAGAAAGAAAAATGCAACTTTTAAAATACCAATTACCATATGTAATATTTTTCATTTTGCAAAAATTAAACTCAACACATTTTAACTACATATATTGATAAAAATAGAAAGAAGAGACACAGTGAAAGGCTTAACAGAAAGTGGCAAAGACAAGAGTTATAGTATGTATTAAATTTAGAGGTAATATGGATTACCTGCTGAGAGCCTTGCCCTTCAGCTTGCTAGAACAGACCAGGACCGCCGTACAGTATGGAAGTTAATGGAAAGATATATATCATTGTGCAAAACAAATCACCAATGAGTTAATTGAAACTTGCATGTTTTTGTGATACTCAATTAATAAAAAAAAGGGAAATTTATGCAATGGTTTTATGAACGTTAATTTCAGAATGATCGTTAAATTAATGTTAATTATTATTAATGGGATAGTGGTGAAAAATCTAACACCGTCTAATAATTAAAAAAAAATTTCTCAATTTGGAAAAATTATTTCACATTATAAAAAATTGTTTAATTATTTAAAATACTTTTTGAAAAAAAAAATATTAACAAGAGTGAATTCACTTTTGGTCATTTTGCTTCTTAAGGATCTGAATGATAAATCTGTAATAAATCCATTTTATTAGTCTCCTTAATATTATAATTTTACCTTTTTAAAATAATGAAATGAAATCTTTGGCCGAAAATATTACCTTTTTTCTATAAATAGAATTTATTATTATTATTACATTGACCAAAGATTTTATACATATAGATGTATATGATAAAATAATAGAGAAATCATACATAAGAAATATGTGCATTGCTAGCAAGTGCTTGATAATAAAATAGCTGACTAGAAAAAAAATTATTTAAATAAATTTGCAGTTTTTATGCCCGCGCGCATTTTTGTGAAAATCAAAATGTTTAAAATAATAAAGCTGTTATAATTATTAATATTTGGTAATTTTAATTTCGAGGATCTCTATTTTTAGATTAAAAACTCAAAAGCCAGATAATTAGTCAAAAAAAACTTTTTGAGTAAAATTATTATCAATACCTTTCTAGTAGAATAATTGCCCTAAAAACGTTTTAATAATGAAGAAAATAATTTTCAAGTGTATAGTCTTTTCATTAATAAAATATAATAGTTTGATAAAATATTTTATAAATTTAATTTTTTTCTCTTTTCTTTGTTGTAGTTAAATATAAATTTTTTTCGATTTAGAAAATAATAAATTCGCTGTCATAATTGTTTTTTTTTTTTTGAAAATGTTGTGAGAATTTATTATTTCTTAAATCGAGAAAAAAAATTTTAATATTTTATTTTTTGACATTTAAATATATAAAATACTCATAATATTTTTCAAAATTAAACATTTGATATGATTCACTTACTTGGCGGGTAATTTGTAAAGATAACCATGACCCTCATCGCTCCAAAGAATAACTCTGTCTGCAGCAAGAAAATCACCAGCCATCCATCGTTCTCCATAAGGTGCAGTAACTGAGCATAGTACCGAAAAATCTCCAGCGTCAAAAATCTAAGAAAATGAAAAAAATTAATTTTCTTGAAATTAATTAAATATTAAAAAAAAAAACTAAGAGAAAGCGAAAAAAAACATACCTGCCAATATTTGGAACATACAATTAGTACTGTACGTTGATTATACGGACAACACGTCATAGCAAGAGCGTTTAAACATCGAATTTGTTTACTTTCATGTTCATATAAAGGCTCACTATTTCGATTTTCATGTCCCAATAATGTCCAAACTTTAACTGTTCCAGTTGTTGTAAGCGCCAAAACAACATCATCTTTAAAAAATTTTCACATATTAATGCAACTGCAAAACATTGATTTTTCTAATATTTATAAACAGACATAAAAATTAATTTATAAAAAGAAAGCTTGAAGCAATGGTTCGCAATCATGAACAAAATAAATATTTCATTACTATGAACGTTATATATAGATAAATATTTTTTTTTCTTTTTTTTTATTCGATGGAATCATTAACCTCAAGAAGCATGTACCATATATACATTCATTAAAATTCTGGTGCTCTTAGACACAATGCTATTTTTATGTAAATAATTATGCTAATATTAAATATTATATATTTAGTATTATAGTCTACCATGCTTAACATTTAATTTAACCTAATAATGTTAAAATAATTTTAATGTATTAATAATAAAATGGTGCATTATAATAGTTTTGTTAACCTTGTACCTCATGCATAATATATAAATATGGAGGAAGGTCCACGCCATTCCAAAATATCGTTCACTTTTACACTTTTGAATTGCCTGAAATTTTTTATTTTTTAGTACTCTACAAAAAAGTGTTGCATAATTTTTTTCAAATTTTTATTACAATTTTAAAAGTATTTTTTTTTTAAATTTACAAAAAAAAACTATTTCTTTTTATAAAATTTTTTAAGTCTTGTCCAATATTTTTCATTTTAGGGAAAAAGTAACAAAATAGGAAATATTTATATAAAAATTACAAAATATATTTTAATTTTAAATAAATGTTTTTCAGATCGTAGTAAATATTTACGAACTTTAATGAAATTTTTAATAATTCTACAAACAATTTTTTGAAAAAAAAGTTCATGTAAAAACACACAATTTCAAAAAAAAAATTTTATTTGATGCATTTATAGGAAAGTCATGTGAATTCAAAAATAAAAATTTTGAAAAATTCATATTTCGTAAAAAGCATGATAAAAAAATTTGAAAAAAATGATGAAACACTTTTTCGTAGAGTACTGAAAGGAAAAAAAAAATTTAGCCAAATCGAAAATATTAACGACAACGATATTTTGAAATAACTCCATATATATGGAAATAAAATATATAACCAGTTATATAATTGTTAAAATTTGTTTAGCTGATTGCAATATCAAGAATTTATAAAATATAAAATATGTTTTAGAAAAAGAATTATAATTTTTAAAAAATGTAAACAACAATCATTACAAAACAAATAACACATTTTTAAATGTATATTTTAAAAATCAAAACATTATTCACACTATATATAAAACAATTGCATTCAGCCTTATTATAAATTTGTTAAGTATTTCTAATTGTAAAGGAAAATTTTATTTCAGGAAAAGTGTATGTATATATATTCATTTAAAGTGTATACTTACAAAGTGTAGTGTATCAGTGTTCAAAGGATTAAGAAAGTTGAAATTGAATAGCCAGGAAAAATAGGTGCTTTATGAAAATAGGAATTATTTTAAAAAAAAAGATTTAATAATATGACTAAAAAAATTTAGTTTAATATGAAATGAATATTAGTAGAGATGCAATGAATAAATGAATTAAAACCAATGATAATGTTAAAATGAAACCAATGGAAAGAAACTTGATATGAAGAAAATTATATATTTATGTTTAAAAAAACACATTTTAACTACCGGCATATATTGTACCAGTTTGTAACCACTTTGAAATACATGCTGTAACATTATAATAGCGATTAAATGTATAAAAACAAGTTTTAATTGTTATAAACAGTACTTCAAAATTTATCTTGCTTTACATCCCTTTAAATCTTACACCCCATTTTATAAAGAGTATAATTTACATATATACAACAAAAAATAATCAACACCTCAATTATAAAGATAAACTTGTAGCTGTAAATATATTATAATTATTTACAGAAATAACTATAATTATATATAATTGTTACTGATAAAGTATATGTTTCTTTCAAATAAGAAAGTTTTATTTTTATTTTCAGTAAATTACCTCTCACGATTGTAATAAAACAAACGATTTCTCATTAATAAGTAACCTTTTAGTGAAAAAATAATCTTTTAATTTGAAATGAATAGAACATACTTAAATAATATAAAAATTTAATAAATTAAAAAAATATAAATTGATAATTTCAACTAAATATACAAAGATTGCGAAGAGTACAGAAAAATAAAAATTAGAAGAATGTCAAAACTTGATGGTAATTTCAAGTTTTTACTTCTTTGACCTTCTTGAGATAGTTTATGAAATAATATTTAAAATTAAATGAACTTTTTTTTGTCGCTTTCTTTTCATATATAAATTAAAATTAAAATATAAAATTAAAAGAATTAAAAAATAATTACTTTGTTAAGTAGAAAAATATAAAAATAATTAACATCATGTATTTTCCCAATGCAAAAGAGAGATATTTCAAGTGAAGTGACGATGGTTAAAATTTTGAATTTCTCTAATATTTTCTATAATTTTTCATTGGCAATTTTTTAAACGCCTTTTTTATGATTCTGAACAATTTTAAGGATTTTGAAAAATTTAAATTTTTTCCAAAATACATACACGGAGAGAAATCTGCTGCGATTTGCGCATGAGCAAGTCCAAAGGAATATAGCATGGACACTTCCAAGCAAAAACCATAAGATTCCATCTGAATATCAGGTGAGACTCATACAATAATACCTCGCTCACTTAGGATTTTTGCTTGAAAGCGTCTGTTACTATATTCCTAAGGACATGCTCATGCGTAAATCGCACCAGATTTCTCTCCGTGTAAAATTAAAAAAAAAATTTGTAAAATAGTGAAATTTTTTTTAAAAATTTTTCATAGTGGAATATAGTTTCGGGTTCTGAAAAAATGTTTAAAAAAAATTTTATTACATATTACATTATTTTTACCGAGTATAACAAGAAGAATGTACACTTTACTACCAAAGTAAATTCCCCTTCGAGATACTGCTAAAAATTGAAAGCATTGTTCAAAACATGATGTTAATCAAATAAATAAATAAATGATAAATGAAAAATTTAAAGTAAAATATTGAAAAACTTAAATTAAAATAACCATGAAAGACAATGGTAGGAATAATGTAAAGATTAAAGGTAAAAAGCATAGGATTGTGATGGAGTGTAACTAACTTGTGTCTTCTGTTACAACGTAGAACCGACCTTTCCGTTTGGCCGGGCGTAGGACGTGTAAAGCACTAATCCAATCTGGATTCACTCTCGAACTGAGTGTAAATAAAACTTCCAAGCTAAATGGATCCATCACTAATACTTCTGGATAGTACCTATTATTATTTATGAAAAAAAGGAACAAATTTAAATAACACACTGCTTAATATTAATAAAAAAATGTTTAACTAATTTAAAAAAAATTACCCTGAACAAAATAATTTGACATCTTCACCGCCAGTTGATACATATGGTAACATTTGAGTGTGAATATTATTAAGTTTTACTGCTTCACGACATTTTCCATCGACTAAATCCCAGGTACACATTTCACCAATTTCACTACTACTAACAATATAATTTTGTTCCATGATAACGCTCGCACGACTAAGACACAATATAGGAGCTGTATGTCCTACAAGCAAGCATCTTGGAGTCATCTGGAAAGAAATTAGAAAAATTTTATAAAATCAATTTCTAAATTTGTCAAAAATTATTTAAAATCATTTAATTAATACTAACTTTCAACGTTTCAGGTTCCACTTGCCATAAGCATATTTGTCCATCGTAGCATCCAGTTATTAGAGTTTTTTGATCTCGAGAAAGATAGATGCACGAAATGCAATGTGTTGGAGCAACACGGCCCCATAGTACTATAGGTACTACTAAACTTGTCCCAGCCGTCATTTTTTATTCATCTAAAGAAATAAATATAATATGCTAATATTATGTGGTCTAATTTTAAAATTAGCAATTAGAAAATATATATAAAAAACAGAATAATTTTTAAAAGGAGTAAAAAGAATTAGTTCTTGTTTAGAATTAATTAATTTATTAATATATTATTGTTTAAAAATTAAAGTAGTAAACAAAATTTGAACGATTGATAAAAATTGTTTTCAAAATTCGTCTTCCAAATAACTTAATTATAGTTTAAGAGATAAAAATATTTATTTACTCTAAATTATTGAAATTTAAAAAATTAAATTAATTAATTAAATTAAATTAATTTTAATTTTTTAATATAATAATTTTATTTCTCCACAAGAAAGTAACTTTAAAGGAAATTTTTTTTAGGTTTTGTTTAGTGATAGTTTAGGCTTAATTAAACATTCATTTTTTCTCTCTAAATCTGAATTAGTGAAAAGTGAGCTACTAATTATACTAATAATAATAATAATAATAATAATAATTTTCATTAAGTTTTAGTCACTTTTTATTAAAACTTTAGTAAAAAAACTTTAAAACTACTAAATCAAATAGTAATATTTTACTAAAAATTAGTAAAAATTCTTACTAATGTGAATTAATAGCTTACTTTTCACTAATTCAAATTTAGAGAGTTAATAATGCAAAAAAACAAATTTTTTTCTTTAAATAGTTTTTTTTAGGTTTTTAAACATAGAAAAATAATTATTAAAAATCTAAAAAATAGTAAATACTCTTTCAAATTTTGTTAGTATTATTTTTTATTAAAATTTGGCATTGTTTTATAATGTTTTTTTTTTACAAAAAATGATATTACTTTTGATATTGTAAAACTAATAACAGACGATAATTTTGAAATATATATTCTCAATTTATTTTATTAATAGTAATTTTATTATTTCCGTTATAAATGAAATAATAAATTGTAAAATATTTGAAAAAATAATAAATTATTTTTCAAAATTATGAAAAAAAAATTTAGTAATGAAAAATAATTAAAATAATGGAAAATGTTGAATTTTATAATAATCACCAGTAAAGTTTAAAACAATCAAAATTTACCTTATTTAGGGGGTGACAATTATTATTTTTTTTTTTTTACATTTTTTCAGAAATTGAAACCATGTTGCAATATAAAAATTTTAAAAAAGTTAATTTTTGATCATTTTATCAGTTTTCTTATTTTGAGATATTTTATTGTTTCAAAAAATAGGAATTTTTCAAAACCAATCTTATGATTGATTGTTCAGAATTATGAAAATAACGTATAAAAAATTGACAATAAAAAATAGATATTATGAGAGAGATTATAATTTTTATATTTCGAGATTTTTGAGTTTTAATGAAAACAATTATTAACTAATTAATAATAATAATTATTAATTTTTGTTAATTTCAGTTATTTAATTCAAATCTATTTGAATTTAATAAATATAAATAATAATAATAATAAAAATAATAATAAATTAATTAATTACTAATAATACTAATAAAAAATGAATAAATTATTTATTCTTGTTTGTTTCCAAAATCTTTCCTGTTAATAATATTATAGGATATAATTTAAAAGACTTTCCTTTCATCATAAAAGGAAATTCTCTTAAATAAATACTAAAAGGAAAATTCGTTTAAGATAAATGGATTCATTCAAAGTAAAATATTGTTTTCTCAGTAGCATAAATTTGATAAAAAAACTGAGATAACGTGTTTTGAGATATTCAATTTTTAACTTCTAAACTCCTAAATACTAAAATTCTTTCAAAACTGCTAATAACAAAAGTAACAAATTTATTAAAATGGAGAAATATTTATTTAAAAATTGTCAACTGTTTACGAGGGGGGGTCTTTTTGAATAGAATGTTCCACATATAAAATTGAAATAACTATAAGCATCGCATTTTTCATTTATCAATAATTGTAGTTTTAAGAAGATATACTTTTATAAATGAATCAAACAATTGTTTGTACTAATTAAATTCAAATATTAAATAAAGCTAACATAATTCTTCGTAAGTAATAATTATAATTGAGGAATATATATATTATGTAAGAAATAGTAATTTTCCATTAATGTAATGTGTAAAAACCCATTTAAAGTAATACAAAAGAAAAAGGATATTACTTCGTAATGATTTTTTGGTACGACAATGATGACAATAATTGATTAGCTATTTATGTAAAAACCGTCTGCTACGTGACATTTTTGACGTTAGTGATTATTTTTCATTTGTTTGGTTATCAAAATTTTGTTTGTTGAGCACAATTAATATTAGATATTTACTTTAAAAAATACTTACCAAATATAACAAAATAATAAATTTGTTTAAACTAATGGAATTTGTTGTAATTATGTCAATAAATTGTCAATTTTTTAATACAATCTTACGTTTACGACCATTGTCTTGAATTAAGTAATCAGCTGTTTTAGGCTCTATTCATAAGACCATAATAAACAACGGGGGTATACCAGGGTTGTGAAGTCACAGTGAAAGATTTAGTACAATTATTTTTTGAGTGGTGCGCTACAATCAATAAGTAGACGTTCCACTTTATCGCAAGTTGTAAATCGTTATTTGGGTCATTTGGGAGAAAATAAAAAATCTTCTATCTTTATCTATCTCATGTTAAATTTTACGATTTACGTCTTACGATTATTCACTGTGAGCTGACCTTAACCATAAAAACATAACCAAGTAAGTTTTATTTTAATCATTTTAATAATAGAAATTTTTGTTTAAAATCAAAAATATCGTTAAAAATTGTAAAAAAATAAACTATTATCGCAAAAGTTAATGTATATAACACTATTAATCAAGGAATCATAATAAACATAATGTAACCTATTCAGTATGAACGGTGAAAATCGTGAGCATAATAAATTTGAGTTCGTACATTAAGTGTGTTATTATGTGCAAGTATATAATTTAAAAAATTATAGTTCAGCACACAGTATTTTGTGAATAAATAATAAATTTTTTTTAATATTCGGCAGTCGGCACAAGTGTATACGTTGGTTTTATTATTGCTTTATCGATTACGCGTGGCTCGATTCCTACTTTACTGATTATAACCTAAAAAAAAAGTGCAGTCTTGATTCTTGAATATATATTGAGACTTGGAATCCACATCCTTCTGCATCAAATATATGTGACCTTGTGACTGATGATCATCTCGCAATTGTATCCTTGATATTAAAATTTTGTGTTATAATAATTATAAAGTTTTAAACAATGTATTTTTAAATTGTAAAATTTTTTTACCTGATTCACAGTTTAGAATTGTAAATTTACAGAAATCTGTAACAGAACATTTTTAATTGTTGAGAATTTACACAATTTACTGTAAATTTAATAATTTTGAAGTAGTAGTTTTACAACCTTTTGTAAATTTACCATTTTTTTAAAGTAGGTAATAAAAGAAGTCGATTATTACCTACTTTAAAAGTGATGGATTTACGAAAAGTTCTAAAACATACGATTTATCAAAATTATCTAAATCGGCAAATTTTATTTATGTAAATCGTTTGTTCCTTCTTTTTTTTTAAAGAATATTTCTACAAATACTCGTTTACCAAGATTTGGTTAAACATGTAAAATATTAAAATCATTCCATTTAAAAAAATTTTGAAAATTGTGTTTAGGATTTATTAAATTATTAATAACATTATGGTACTTTTCATTTAGGACCATATTACTAAATTATGTTCTCAACATTTACAGATGTACTATTATATATTTTTGTAAATTTACAATACGAAATTGTGAATCAATCAAAATATTTTTTTAAGTAGGTTTATTTTGAAAAAAATTAAATTTATATTTGCTTACAGTTAATCATTGCAATTATTAAAGAAAATTGCCATTGTCTAAAAATTAAAAAATATCTTGATTAATCCTCCGAGAACACTGGGGATTTATGAGATTCCAAACCAATCACAATTTTTTCTGTTTTTTGTTTTAAAACTACTTTTGGCATTACAGTTAGTCCTCTTTGCACCTTTTTCCAATTATTTTGATGATTTGTCTCCTTTTTCACCATTTTTTAATCAAAAGTGTAAAATTTTTTTTGTAAATATTTTGAATTATGTTTACAAGAGACGCATGAAAATACGTTTATTAGATTATGAATTTACTATAATTTTTATTACTTAAAATGATTAATTAATTAAAAAATATTTTCAGCAAATATTTCTTTTATCTATTTTTTATTGACTCCAATTTATTTTCTTCAAAACTTTCAATAATTTTTAATTTTTCAATTTTCAATTTTAATTAAAACCAATTTTTTTGGGGCCTAAATATATATAGAAATTATATAAACCAAATTTTTGATTTAAAAAAAAAACTTTTGATAAAAATTTCAAAATGATAAAAATAGAATTTACAAGAATTATTATCATAATAATAATTAATCACAAAATCATAATTTAATCTATACGTAAATAGAATTATTATAAAACTGTTAAAATTATTATTTATCCTAATTTTTTATTTTTTAAACGTCATTTATTCTAATTGACAAATTCTCAAAATATAAAATTATTAAAAACTTTTGTTATATAAAAACTTTATTCTTCATTAAATCAAATTTTTATACAACATAATTATTATTATCAAAAATTTCTACAAAAAATAATTATTTTTTAAACGAATTTTAATTTCATAGAATATTCACTTATTAGAATCGCCACACACTCTAAAGTTAAATTTCTTTTTTTTTTTGAGATAAAAAAGCGATTGTCATAACCATATTAGTATTATTATGACCAATTGTGACAATCATCTACTGCCTATATGATATAGAGAATAAAAGTTGAAAAATTTTATTATAATTAAAATAAAAGTTATTTTCTATACCAAAAAGTTCAAAACTGTAAGAAATTATATTTCAGTATGAATATATTGTTATCATGACTTTAAACAAATTTTAATTTGTTATATTTTTTATCTCCTTTTTTGGGTAAAAAAATTCCTCTTTTCACCTTTTTTGAGGATAAAGGTTACTGTGATACCTGTGACTTTTTTCAGCATATTTATTTGACATTTAAATATTTTTAATGAGACATTTAATGTATGGAAACTTTTTCTACAATTATTAAAGAGAATTGGACAAAATTTTTTTCTAAATGAAAAAAAAGTATTTCTAAAAAGTATTTTTCTTAATTTTACAGCAGATATATTAATATATAAATATAATAATATATATAATATATATTAGATATATTAATCTCTGAGTTTAATATAAAAAATATTTTAAAAATTTATTAAATGAAATATTGTAATTACTATTTTTAATATTACATACTTAGAGAGCTACAGAATTTAAATAATTTTACAATATTTTACGATTAGAAAAATTACTAATCAGATCCAGGTACGAATATAATAATTTTAATGAATATTTTAACAATGTAAATGTATTGTTATTTATTTACCGCTAAATTGTAAGCCATGAATGTAAACTATTAAAACTGTGAAAATTACATTAAATAAAACTCAATTGAGATTTCCTTTATTTTAAAAATCTTTCCAGGTGTTGAGAATAGTAATATCAAATAATAACAATATTTTGTTTAAGAAAATATTAAAAATATTTTTTTATACCTAATTAATAAATAAATAAATGAAATAAGTAATTAATAAATCATATTTTAATTAAGAATAAAAAATTACATTAGAGTAATCAAATAAAATTAATAGTAAACAATTTTTAAAAAATATTCCAATTTTTTGAATTTTTGGAAGTTTTTGAGATCATTTAAAAAAATGGTAAACATATTTCTTAAAAAAAGTAGAGTAGTCCGATTGAAAAATGGTGATTTTTAATGATTCTACAGTAGATTTACAAAAAAGTGTTTTGTTCCCATAAAAAATATGCATTGTGGCACCATTAAATATTCATTAAAAAATCTCTTTTTTTTCATTTAGAACAAAATTTTGGTCAGGAATGATAAAAATTCGAAAATTTTGAAAATTAGGACCGCCCTAGTGAATATTTTAGAAATACTGTTTGGGGTCTCATAGACCCCCAGTTTCAAAGAAAGTGTTCTCCAAGGGTTAATAATGTTTCTAAAGATTATTATTAATTTTTATAAGCCAAAAGTTCTGAACGTTCAAATGAACAAAATAATTTTTTCAATCTATAAATTATTAAAAATTATAATGTCAATGTAAAATAAAACAGTAAATTAAACAAATATTAAATTAATAACTTCTTTTAAAATATTTAAAACAATATTTTGTAATAAAATTCGTAATTAAAGAAGTTGTAAAAAAAATTTTGTTCATTTGAACGTTCAAAACTTTTGGCTCATTAATTTTTTTTTTTTTTTTTATTAATTTTATTTAAAATTAAAATTTTCCTCAACAAAAATATTAGAAATTGTAGTGACTTGTAAAATACAATGAAATGTCACTATGAAGTACTCGGAGTTCCGAGGAATGCAACAGAGGATGATTTAAAGAAATCTTATAGAAAGTTAGCTTTAAAATGTCATCCCGATAAAAATCCTGATAATCCTGATGAAGCTAAAGAACAATTTCAATTGATACAACAAGCATGGGAAGTGTTAAGTGATCCACATGAGCGTGCGTGGTATGACAATCATCGTGAAGCAATTTTAAAAGGTGGAATTGGTGATAACTATAAAGACGATTCAATTGATCTATTTCAATATTTTTCAACGGGTTGTTTCAAAGGTTACGGTGATGATGAAAAGGGTTTTTATTTTATTTATCGTACTGTTTTTGAGAAATTAGCTGCTGAAGATGCTGATTTTTCAAAAGATGATGACTCCGATGTTGATGTACCAGCATTTGGCGATTCCACAAGTTCTTATGAGGATGTAGTTCATAATTTTTATGCTTATTGGCAAAGTTACAGTACAAAACGATCGTTTGCATGGCTTGATCCTTATGATATTCGCGATACGCCAAATCGACGTGTTCTTAGAATTGTTGAGAAGGAGAATAAAAAAATTCGCGATAAAGCAAAACGCGAGAGAAATGAACAGGTTCGTAATTTAGTTGCTTTTGTTCGTAAACGAGATAAACGTGTTCAAGCATATGCTCAAAAACTTGCTGAACGTGCAAAGGAAAATGCGAAAAAAGTTCAAGAGCGTAAAAAACAACAATTACTGGAGAGACAGAGAGAATTAAAAGAGCACACCGTATCCGAGTGGTCCAAATTTTCTAACATGGAATCAGAATTGAAGAATATTGAGGCGAATCTTGCGGCAGAATTTGGCGAAGATTTATCATCTGATGGAGATTCAGAAAAAACGGATATTATTTGCGATAGTAATGCTTTATATTGTGTGGCTTGTAACAAGATTTTTAAAACTCAAAAAGCATTTATCAATCATGAAAATTCAAAGAAACATAAAGATAATTTGGCAAGTATGAAAGCGGCAATGATTGATGAGGAGGAAGAGTTACAAAGTGATGACGATGATGATGATGACGATGACGACGACGACGATGATGATGATGATGAAAAAAATTCACAAAAATTAGCAACTGGTTCTAATATGCCCGATTTTTTATTAACGCCTGCTGAAAGTAAAATCGATCAAGATAATCAAGATTCTGAAGGCGAAAGGGACTCTGATGCTGAATCAAATAAAAAAGGAAAGCAAACTAAATCAATTAATGCTGCAACAAATTCTCAAATGGGTGATGCTGTTGATTTATCATCACCTAAATCAGATACAGGCAATGACAATAATACGTCTGAAGATGAATTGAATTCAGATCAAGAGGATGAAGGTGATCAAGAAGATGTTGTTGTAAAATTTAAAAAACAGAAGAAAAAAAGAGGGAAAGTAATTCAAAAAAGTTTATTGGAACACAATAGTGACGATGAATCGGACTTTGGTGCTTGTATGGGATTATCAAAAAAGCAGAGGAAAAAACAACAGAATAAAATAGTTTTAGAGCAAATGTCACATATGAAAACAACAGCTGTGAATAAATTGGAAGTACATGAAAGAGGAGAAGTGGAAATGAATGAAGATTCTTTACAGGGAAATCAAAGTAAAGGTGAAGATGGAGACGATGAATCGTTTCAAGAGACAAATATGAGTTCAATTTTAGGTAAACGAAAGGGAAAAAAAGCAAAAGAAATGAGAAGAGCTCAAAAACAATTGTCTGCTGAAGATCGAGGAAAAGGAGATAAACACAAAAGAGATGTGAAATCAGCAGAAATGATTCCAGATACAAGTAATTGTTGTATAACGTGTAAATCTGAATTTCCAAGTAAAAATAAGTTATTTGAACATTTAAAAAAGACTGGTCATTCTGTTTATTTATCAAATGTGGGAAAATCTAAAAAAAGTGTTGAATCAATCAGTAAAGGAAGGGTCAAGTCAAGTAAAAATAGTGATTAAAAGTTATTAGAAAAGAGAATTGTTTAGTTCAATTACATACATTATAATGTGTATGAACTGTTGTAATAAATATCGACATTCTTGTATGAAATAACAAAAAGTTACAAAATTCGTTTTCATTCGCTCCAATCAAAAAAAAAAAAAAATACTTGAATCATTTTCATTGTTTACAGACATTAAATTTCTTCATCAAGGATAATTCTTGAGGAAAAATAAAGTAAGTATTTTTTTTTCATTCAAATTTTAATATAGTTTTTTAATTAATTATTATTATTATAGAATGTGGAGTGGGAAGGAAATTTATGGAGCTGCTGAAAGAAATAAGGAGCCAATATTGTCAGTGTTACGAAATTACATTAAAAAAGAAGTGGCTCAAGTATTTTTGGAAATCGCTTCTGGTTCAGGTCAGCACGTCGCTTATTTTGCTCCCAATTTTCCTCAAGTAACTTTCTATCCATCTGAGAATGGTGATCCTAAATTAATGAAAAGTATTTCCCTACACACTGCTGATATGACTAATGTTAAACCTCCAATTAATATTGACATTGCCACTAATTATAAATCTTGGAATAATGGATTATTTAAGGAAAATACCTTAGATTACATGTACACTTCAAATTTAACGCATGTTTCCCCATTTAAATGTACAATTAGTTTATTTGAAAATGCAGGAAAATTATTAAAGTCCGAAGGACTTTTATTAATGTATGGCCCTTTTGCTGTTGATGGTAATCTTTCACCAGAAAGTAATATTAATTTTGACAAAAATCTTAGAGCTCAAAATTCCGAATTGGGAATACGTGATGTACGAGATTTACGTGAATTAGCTGATAAAAATGGCATAAAACTTCTCAAGATGGAGGATATGCCAGCTAATAATAAAACTCTAATATGGAAAAAGTCATCTCAGTAAATGTTTTTTTTTCTTTTAAACAAAATTTATTACCATTTAATGGAATAAATTTATTATATTCTTTGTTAGTCCTTATCATTTTCATGTTTTTTATCTTGTTTCAAAATAAACAAGTTGTAAAAATATTCTATTTCATTTATAAATATATAAATTAATTTATTAATTAATTTTACAATACTAATTATAATAATTATTTCTTATACTATATGAAATGGAGAAATTTAACACTAATAATAAAAATGAATGGAATAACAAATGTTGATGAAATATTATTGCCGCCATTTAGATACCAATGAGCGAAGAGCGCTGAAACGGAAGTTGGAACATCTAAAATTACAAATAGTAGAAATAACGAATTTATAATTTATATATTTAATTGTGATTTTAGGAATAATTGAATTTATAACAAACCTGCATCTTCCTGTGTAGTGACCCATCCAATAACTGGCTCTAATTGATTTTGTCTTTTTAACCATTGATTCAATGGTTCAAAATATCGAATTAAAGCACCCGCATCTAATCTATTTATTTTTCCTCTCGTCATTTGACGTATAACATCTTTTCTTGAAGTTCCGGCTGATAATATTTCTCTGCATTAAATATAAACAAGTTTAATATTTAAAAAATTTTAATTTTAAAATTAAAAAAAAATTTTTTTTTCTCTTCTACCAGAATCGGGCAAAAGTTAAATTCTTTTAAAAAATATTTTTTACGGTGAATACAATCCACAAAAAACTTTCTTTATTTTATTGACAAATTTTTTTTTATCTTTTTTCGTGATTTAAAACCCTGTTAGACATTTTTTTGAAAATCTCTTTTACACTTTTCATTTGCAAATATTGCCCTAAAATTTTTTCAAGCTTCATTGAAATCGAAGAATTAAGGAATAACTATGATTTTTTTGGTATTGACTGAATTAGATTTGTACACTTACGATAGTAAACGTCCAGCTTCTCGAGATCTATATAAATCGCATGTGTGCAAAACTCCTGTATGTCCTGAGATATCGCACAAAGATTCAAATAATTGAAACTGCAAAATAACTCCCACGAAGTATCTAGAAAGAAATGACAAATTTTTACATATATTCATACAGTACTGTCAGGAATTCGATCTGCACTATTTTTTACAAATTAAATAATTTTTAAACCATTAAAAATGCCATCTAACAATTTGGTATACAGAATCTACACAATTTGAGCTATCATTTAAAATATTGTTAAATGTTTTAACAATGGTCGAAGTCTATGAAAAATTGATTTAAAATTTGTTTTTCAATTTTTTTAATTAAAATTAAACTAATATGAATAGAAAAATTTTTAAATGAAGAATCACCAAAGTTTGAGCACGATTGGATGATTTTTTTTTATTTTTGATCACTTCACTTGAAATCCCTCAAATTATAGGTATAGTTATTACTTTGATTTTACTTACTTGGCGTAAGGAATATCCGCGGGTAGATGATATTTAGAAGCTGGATCAAAGTCTTTTTCCGTTCGTTTTGAAGGTGGTATGATACCTTGATACTGCAGTCTTAACTCCCACCATTTTGTATTCATATCTGCAACTCCATCACTAAATACTCTCCATCTCCACTGATTCAATTATAAAACAATGATTGACTGTATGTATGAGGCATTCTTTGAAAAAAATCCATATCCAAAAAAAAGGGGACGCATGAGATTATGTTCTCAAAATCATTTCTTAGAATTTTCATTTTATGGAATTTCATTTGTTCTAATTATTTTTGAGCCGAATTTTTATTTCTGCGAATTTTTATTTGCTCGAATTTTCATTTAACATAATAGGTATTTTAAAGAATTTTTATTGGGTAGAATTTCATTGCATAGAATTTTCTTTCAGATGAATTGTCATTTGTTCGAATTATTATTTGATATAATTTCCATATAACCGATTTTTCATACTACAGAATTTTTACTTAACCGAAAAATCATTTAACCGAATTTCTAATTGATAGAATTTTTATTTGTCCGAAATTGTAAATGGCCGAACAAACAATAGACAGAAAGATTTCGGCGCGATTTTTAAAATCAACCAATCACAATTTTATAGATAATTTCTTATTTGTCGGCCATTTACAATTTCGGACAAATAAAAATTCTATCAATTAGAAATTCTATTAAATGATTTGTCGGTTAAGTAAAAATTCTGTAGTATGAAAAATCGATTATATGGAAATTATATCAAATAATAATTCGAACAAATGAAAATTCATCTGATTGAAAATTCAATTCAATGAAGTTCTACCCAATAAAAATTCTTTTAAATGCCTATTATGTTAAATGAAAATTCGAGTAAATAAAAATTCTAATAAATAAAAATTGTATCAAGTGAATTTTCGGTTATATAAAAATTCTATAATATAGAAAATCGTTTTGATAAAAATTCTGCAAAATACTAATTCGAACAAATAAATATTCGACTCAATAATAATTATGACAAATGAAATTCCATAAAATGAAAATTCTAACTAATGATTTTTAGAACATAATCATGCGTCTAAAAAAAAGGTTTGAGATTGGGTTGATAGTTTGGTAAATTGTTGTGCTATATCAAAGTAACAACATTTTAAAATATAAACATTATAAACTTATTTTTAAAAAATTATAAAACGTAGAGGGGGTTTTTTGTTGGGTTTGTTCATGTAGTTTTCAATGCCAAAAAAAGTTTTTTTTCAGAATTAACCCCTATTTTTCATATAGGACAATAATTTACCAAAGTATGAAGCCAATCCCACAATTTTTTTTGGGTGGTTTTTTTCCAGAGAATTCTTCATATTGAATTAATGGAATTTTTTTCTAACATGATGGAATAATTACCTGATCAACAATATAAGCAAAAGGTAGGTATGCCACCTTTTGAAGTGCTATGAGCATTAAGAAATTAATACTGCCTTCATAGTCTTCTATTGAATTGTTATATAATCCAACTCTGTGCATATGATGTGGACCTGTTGCAGAAAGGCCAATTGCGTCACTTAGAGCCTCATGAAAACCTACATATACAAACCAAATTTTTAGTACTTGCACATAATTTATAAAAGAAATATTATTTTTTAAATTATTAAATACAAACTACCATCAAGCTATTCTATGGTATGCTGAGAAAAATATTTGGTATCATCCAGAAAAAAAATATATTTATCTCAGTGACAAATAAATATTTATTTGGTTTTATTAAGTAGAGGTACCGGTGAAATTTTAACTCGTCGAAATTAATATTGTTAAGAGGTGTCAATTTTTTTCTGTCATTATTTGGGATCTAAAATTATTGTGAATTATCAAAATTAAAAAAAAATGTTTTTATTTAACTCACATAAATTTTATTTGTCTCAAATAAATGCAAATAAAAGATTTCTCTTGGTGTATATAATAATTTTGTTAGCAACTTTTTAAAAATTATTTTCAAAAAAATATTTATAATTAAAATTTTCAATACGCAGTTTATTTCGAAAAAAGTACCTGGAAGTGCTTCTTCACGAAAAATAAATGGTTGTTCTTTGTATTGCAAATAGTATTGCACATGTGACATTTGATGATACGTTGTAAGTAACTCGTCCATTGTTATTTTGGTGCACTGTTTTATTCTAAAATTGATAGAAATAATTAATTTTTAAAGTTAATTTTATCTATAGATACATAATATCTTCATTATTATTGCTTTACCTATAATCAAATCCGTTGCAAAAATCCCAAGCGCTAGGTGTGCAACTAACTTCTCTATCAATAGGTTTATCAAACATAGAAGATTTCCAAAATTCAGGAGGCATTGGTTTCATTCCTAACGAAGTAAAAAATTCTTCCGCGATTTGAAACATTCTACAAATATAATTCTTTTTCTATTAGGAAATTAGTACTGCCTACCTAAATTATGATTTACTATTTTTATATCCGAATAAATATTTGGCAGAAAAATTTTGGCGCAAATTAAAAAATTTTTAAAAATAAATTTCTGCACAATATAGCACAAAATTTGTGTTTTTTAAATTTTAATTTAAGACGTTTTAAAAATATATTTTGCAATACTTTTGGAAAAAAAATTGTTTTTTTTCGTTTAATAGATATACAAATTTCTATATATGGACAAATAGAAACCAAACGATTTTTCAATAGTATTAATTATTTAATTAAATTTGATTATTTTATTAAAAAATAATTGAAATTACCTTAAAGGTGTGAATCCTTGGATCATCATATCTAAAGTAACATCAAATTTTGCAGCAGCAGGAAATGGTTGAACAATTTTAAAAATACCTTCCCAATTTTGTGCCCACATATTGCCCAATATATGAGCAGGAAGAGGTCCATCTTTTTTTATTCTATCTCCATATCTATCGATCAGTCTTGAACGGACATATGTAAACAATTGTTTATAAAGTGGCATAACTGCTGACATCACTTCAGCCATATTTTGTTGAAAATATTCGTCTTCAAAACTTTCTCTCATTTGATCTCCAGCATCAGCGAAACCTTTAAAATATATTGTTATTTATAATTATAAGAAAATTAAAATAAAAAAAAAACAAAAAAAAATTCGTCACACATACCATTAAGTTTAGAAGCTAAATTTGATAATTGAACATATCTCATGTATTTATTTCTCAATGGTGGTCCAATGGCAGAATGCCAAGAATTCCAATAGTGCAGAAGTTCATCATAATCTCTGGATTGTACCATTATTTTATTAATATCTACAATATTGAAAAGAAAAAAGTTAGATTTGCAGTACTAATATTTGTAAATAATAAAATGATGAAATTATTATTATTATTATTATTATTATATACCGTGATCCAAACTCATATTGCAAATATTATTCATCATTTTATATGGACATAATCTCGTTCTAGAGTATAATTCTTTCATTTCTACTATAAGGTGGTGTATCTGAAAAACAAATTTTTATTTTTTGAAAAATCTTTTACTAAATTCGACTTTTATTTTTTCGATTTACATACTTCATTGAACTTGTCGTTTGAGAGGGAATATCTTCCTTTAACAGCTATCATTTTTAATTGACGTCTTGCCATTGGATCTGAAATTCTGCTCCATGCAAAACTGACAACTTTTTTCCAGGATGCTCTATCAAATTTTAATTTCAGTGTTTGATCTTCTAGCTGAATAATTTAATTTAAAATAAATAAATTTTTGAGATTAGTTTTCTAAAAAGTAAATAGTATGGAGAAAAATATAAACAAATAAAATTTTTATTGTATCAGTTTCTAAATATTAAATATCAATTTATACCTGAAAATTTAATTGTAATTTTAAAAAAATATTTCTTTTTAAATGTATTAAAAAAAACAGTTTTCACGCTTTTGATCTAAAACTTATATTTAGATAAATTTAAAAAAAAGTGCGTATTATACCAAACAAATGTATTGATAAATATTGAAAATAAGTTTTTCAATTTTTTAAAAGGATTTTGGAAATTGTAAATAAAAAGTATTTCTTTTTCCTTTTCTTTCATAATAACTTTTGACTTTGTCAACCTCATAAGATTCTTGTTTTTTTGTACAAAGAACACAAATTAGTACAAAATTAAAAACTTTCACAAAAAACACAACTAATACTTTCTTTTTCAAAAAAAATTATCCAATTAGCTCAAATTAGCTAGATAACAATAGTTGTATATGAATTATTTTTTCAACACTTTAAATTTTTAAAAAGGCAAACAAATTTTTAAAATACCTTTCATTAAAGAAAATTATTGTAAATAATAAATAAACAAAATAAAAATGTAACTAAGTAATATTTTATATAAAAATCTACGAATTCTAAATTAATATGTTATTTTTGAAATTTTGTGTAATCTTTTTAATAAAATAATATTAACCTTTTAGTAGAAAATTTTTTTTTTTTAAACTAAAAATTCAAGGTAAAAAAATGAAAAACATTTTTAAAACGTTTAAAATTAAAATGTTCAAAAAATTGATATTGTGCACAATTTTTCCCAATTGTGATACAATTAGTTATATCATAATTAAGGTCATGTGAAAATTCTATGTTATGAAATTCTATCTAATAAAAATTGATTTAAACATTTATTATATTATGTTAAATGAAAATTTGAACAAATACAAATTCTGTGAAGTGAATTTTAGATTATATGTAAATGCTATAATATGTAACGCGTCGCGAAGAAAGGGACCTTAGAAGCTAAAATTTATAGGTTATATTTTGAAATTTTAAAGTGAAAATACACAAAGAGAATTAATTCTTTATTATATATTTAAAATAATCAATGAAAACTGATTTTGATGTTACAGAAGCGAAAAGAAACTTTTAATCAAAGTAAAACTGTCGTAAACATAACCTATAATTCATTTGCTTCTAAGGTCCCTTTCTTCTCGACGCGTTACATATATAGAAAATCGGTTTAGTGAAAATTCTGTCAAAAAAATAATTCAAATAAATAAAAATTTGGCTAAAAGAAAATTCTATATTATAATGAATTTCTATCAAATAAAAATTCTAATAAATTAGTTTTAGGAATTATATTCATGCTTTTAAAATTTTTATGGAGAACTCAAAAATAGTATAAGAATTCGGTTGCAATGTGCCAGAGTATATTTTTATTTTGTCCAAAAAATTTTTTTTTCAATTTGCCTATTTATGGAAAATTTAATATGGCGATAATACGATTTTAGTCATTTCATTTTAGCCAAGTATGCAATTTTTAAAGAATAAATTTTTTGAAAAAATATATTTTTTTTTATTTCAGCACAAAATTTTAGCTCATTCTATCAGATATTTTTGATTAGATAAAAGAAAAAAAAATAATTTTTTCCATTTAAAATTATATGGTTCTCTCTTAAACAATTTGTTTTTACCATTTTTCGACGATTAATATCTGTCATATTCGTTGCGAAATTCCATTGAGAATTCATTATTTTGTTACACATTGCAGATGCTTCATAGTCATATTGTCTGAGAAATTGAAGAGCTTCACCAAGATTGACGTTTAATCCCTTTCGAAAATTTATATATTTTCAAATCTTTGTGTATATTTATAGTTATATGTATATTTAAATATATTCGTTTAATAATCACCTCTAAATATCGAGCGAGACTTCTTCCACTAATTATATGCAATATCCATATAATTTTTAAAGCTTCTGTTTTACCAGCTTTCATCTCAGATCGTTTCTTGAAGAAAATTATTTATTTATTTTTAAATTGTGATTTAACTTTTTTTTAATAAAATTAAATACATGGGGAAAAAATTTTGCAATATTTCTAAAATAAATATTAATATATTTAAAAATATATATTCAATATTTCTTCCAAATATTAATAATTATTTTTTAGTTTTGATAGTTGCCAACAATATGATGTCATAGCAAATTTGCATCCAGAGAAAAATATATTTCATAACTATAAATAAATATTTATTTGATTCAAATAAATATTTATTTGATTCAAATAATTATTTATTTTTAATTGCGGAATGAAAAATTTCTTTATATAGCAAACACATTAAGCTGTGAAAGCAAAATTATTAGCTTTTAATGTAAAAATAATTGCTATCCTTATAAATAGAAATAGAATTAGCTGAGTTAATTTTGTTTTCTCTCCGCTTATATAGATGTTAAAAATTTGAAATACATACGTTTTTATTTTCTATTTTAAAATTTTCATTCGCCGTATAATTTTTTAAATTTGAATTGAATTTTAAACTTTTTATTTTGCATCTAACACTTTATATTTCTAACACCTAGTTTTTGTGGATGTCACAGTAACACTGAGTTACCTTTTTCAGAATGAGTATCGTCTGTTGTTCAACAGCGCATAAAGCATGACGGGGAAACGGAATTAACGGGGAAGGCATTGTAATTTGTTTCAAAGAAATGTCCAGGGCTCGTTATCCTTGCAAAACGATCATAATAGTTTTGCAAAACATTTATATATACCAACACTAATAGAAATTGTTAAGAAAGGATATATTTCATCAGCACAATCCCTTTTCAAATAGGATAAAGTTTTCAATGAATTTTCATGCAAATATTTTCAAACTAACAAATACAGTGAAAAAAAAATTTCTAGCTGAAGTTACTAGATGAATCTGGTTAAAAAATTTCTAGTTATATTTTAACAGGAAAAAGAAGAAATAAAAATTCTGATTTTAACAAGAATTTTTGGTTTTTACCAGAAATGTAACCAAGAATTTTTTAACCATATTTATTTTCTAATATTTCTAATCAGAAAAAGTACGAAACGCATGAATATGTTGTAAAAATTATTTATTTTATTTTTTTCGAATTAGTATTTTGCAGAATTTTCATCAAACCAATTTTCTATATTACTGAATTTTAATATAATCGAAAATTCACTTCACAATATTTTTATTTGTTCGAATTTTTATTTGTCAGAATTATTATTTGCTCGAATTTTCATTTAACAAAATAGGCATTTTAAAGAATTTTTATTGGATGGAATTTCATTGAATGGAATTTTTATTTTATTCTTTCAGATGAATTTTCATTTGTTCGAATTATTATTTGATATAATTTCCATACAATATAAGGGTGATTCTCCGCGTAGCGCACGATTTGGTGTCTGAAACTTTAAAAATATTTTTTTATCAAAATGATAAATATCAATACATATTTTTGAAGATAAAGTATCAAGAAATAAATATCCATGATGGGCCGGAAAAATTTTTTATAATTTTTTAATTTTTTTAAACAAATTTAAAAAAAAATTCTTTGCTTTTTGAATTCTATAAAATAGTTGAAATTTGATTTAAAATGTTTATTGAAATTTTTGGGGTAATTCACAAATATAGGAGAGAGGATGAAAAAGTCAATTCTACTGATAATAAACAATTATAATTATAAAAAATAATTTTATTTTCCTATTAGTAGTTTGAATTGCAAAAGATTTATTAATTCTACAAAAAAATGTTCTTAAAGCCTATTGAACCACTTTGAGTAGTAAAGTTTACTACTTAAAGTAGTAGTTTCAATTGCAAAATATTTATTAAATGTACCAAAAAAATGTTCTTAAAGCCTATTGAACCACTTTAAGTATAGTAAAATCTACTACTTACATCTTGAGTTGTTTTAACATTTTTAAATTGAGTTAATACAATCACAAAATGTCATTCTACCAATTACATTTTTAATTGGTTTAACTATTTTTATAAAGTTAATAGAACCGTTTAAATTCAGTTGAGGACTTATTGTACTACTCAGAGTAGTTAAAAAGTAGTAAAACCTACTAGTTTTTTTTTCAGTGGACAATTAAAAATTTTTATTTCGGTAATTTACGGAAATTTTCGAGGTAATTTTTGGAAATTTATGCGGTAATTTATAGAAATTTTGTCTAAAATTCATAAAAATATGTAAAACATGAATCACAATTAAAAATTTTAATTTTGGTAATTTATGGAAATTTTCGCGGTAAAATCAAAATCATTTGATATTGTTTGAGAAACATGTATTTAAAAATATATTTATTTTTGCTACAATTTATTTTATATATAGGGTGTCCAAAAATTTCCGAATTCTTATGAATTAAATTCACATTATATTTAGCATAACTATGATGGTATAGAATGTTTTTATTTTTATTCACACTAAAAATTAATATTTTCTAAATCAAGATCTCATTGAACACCTTGTACAAATATGATCATAATAATTTTTTTTATATACATGTAATATTGTCCATTTCGAAAATTGTTGAAATTTATATTCTACATATTATACATACGTTTGTGTTATTAATATATAAATGGTGGAAAATGCTATGATTTTTTTAATAATTAATTTTTTAATTTTTTTTTCAAAGTAATTTTTTCCATTAAATAATGAAATAAAAATTTATTTTTCAATATCAGTTTTGATGAAAATGTAAAATAAATTTTACTTTTATGGGTGAAACACACGTTTAAAAAAAAAACGAAACCTAAAGTTGTTTCTGATAAGAACGTATATAGAAGTTATATAGATTACAGGCATAGAAGATAAAAATAATGTGTCTAAAAAAAATTATTTAAACAATTATACAGTTTTGAAAATTAATTACAACAGTTTTGCCTAATTTAACTTTTGATTAAATTAAATCTTGATAACTATTCGAATACATCCTGATCTTTTATTTCTAAATCGTCAATGTAAAGAATATAAGTTATGTCTCTTTCTTCTATGTTATTTGATCTGATCACAGCTGGTAAACCTCCAATTGAAAATGACATTTCAGCACCTCCGTCAACAAATTCGTTCTATTGAAATAAAATTTAACATATTTTTATAAATTTTTCATTTTAATTTACTTTTTTTTTAAAAAAAGAGTTATATTGTGCAGGAAATTTACAAGATTTTTTACAAGGTTAAAAAAATTGTTATTTTTTGTAGAGAATTAACTTCGAAATTTTTTTATACATATTTTTGTATTCTACGAAAAAGGGTTCCATAATTTTTTTTCGAATTTTTTTTATTAAAATTGTTAAAGAAATATTAATTTTTCAAAATTTCAGATTTTTAAAATGTGGAAAACTTTCAAAAAGTGTATAGGATATAAAAAAATATATTTCAATGAGAACTACAACTTTCATATTATATATATTTGAAAATTTTGCAAATTATACCCCAAAAAATGCAAAAAACAAATTATTTTTGGTGTTTTTTTTTGGTTTTTCGTTATATGAAAATCATATTTGAGAGTATTCTATGATTTTTGTGATTAGCGCATCAAAATACATAAATAAACGTAGTATCAAAAAAAAATTAGAGGTATTTTTTAAAAAATTAAAAATTTGGAAAAGTTGAAATAATTATTTTCCCACAAAATGACTCGAATTAAAATTGTTTTAATATGAAGTAATTTTTTTTTAAATTTTTCAATCTTTAAATTGCAAAAAGTCTAGCAACTTATTTTTCGGTTATTTTTTACATCAAATTTTCGAAAAGTTCACAAAAAACATACATACAATTACAAAGAAAAAAATAATTTTAAATTGATGCATTTTTAAGATAAAGTTATATCTTTAAAAATTTGAAATTTTGAAAAATTCATATCTTGTAAACAGTTTGATAAAAAAATTCGAAAAAATTATGGAACCCTTTTTCGTAGAGAACAAAAAGATAAAAAACTGTTATTTATATTTATAATATTTTATCCTATATATTCTTACCCTAACATCCACTTCTTGAATTCCATTAATCCAAACTGTTTGAGTATTTTTATCTGCAATTTATAAAATTATTTTAATTTATAATTTGAATTTATCCAAGGCTATTTGTTTTACTCTTATTATTTGTCTATTAAATTCTGTAAAATTATTTATTATTGTCTATATTATTTACCCAAAATAATTCTATATTGAATTCCATTTAAAGTTGTTGTCCAACATTTTAAAATTTTTGATTGATTTTGAATAAAATTTTCATAACTTTTCCCATTCACCCACAGGGTGTAGGAATATTTTAATCCTGTAAACATATTTTTCCAATATTTTCATACGAATATTATTTTCAGTATATTAAAAAAATAATATTTAAAATTTAATAATAATAAATTAAAAAAATTTTTTTTTTTTAATTTAAAATTTAAAAATTAATTAATTTATTTAGAAATAATATATATTCACCAGGTATTGGATCAACTCGAATAACAATTTTATTTTTGCCAAGATGAATAATCTCATCTCCAACAAGTCGAAACATCCATTCTCTATTCACAAGGGTTTTACCATTGACCTTTACAACACGTTTTCCAGTCGCTGTTCCGTGTTCAAATTCAACAACATGAGTTTTGCCATCATTTAAAGGAACTTCCCACTTGGCTGCGTTTCCTCCTGACATTTCAAGTGTCCACAAAGTTCTAAAATATATTCAGTAAAAGAAACAATGAAAGAACAATGACGACGAAATACAAGAAATGACAATTTTTATAAATACAAAATTAATGTACATACATATGGGTGTAAGTATATGTTTATAGTATTTGTGTATATACATTTAAATTTTATTTAAGTATTGTTCTAGTATTTAGTGTGGTAACTGGAGCATGGCCATCGGGGCCTGAGGTAGGAGCGTCAGAATTATATTAGAACAAAAAAAAAATAAAAAAATTGAGTACTGTTGATAAATTTTTTTTTAGAAAAATTACAGTGTCTTGTGTTCTTTAAAGACCGGTATTCGTAAAATTTTATTTTTTAGAAATATCGAGATTTGCTATTTTTTTGACATGTTTCGTTGTAATTGGGGTACAAAAGTTCCAAAACTTGTTTCAGTTTGGATAACCAGCTTAAAGTATATTTGAGTACAAATCACCCATGTGTTTTTTAAAATTGGAGTTCTTCTTTAAAAACATGTCATTGTTGAATTTTAAATATTTTATTTTTTTAATAATGTTATATCAATAAAACTATATTTTTCATATTTCTCAAAAGATATCTACAAAAAAAAATCGACTGAATTTCATCAATTTGAGCCAAAGATTTAAGGTTTCAAAGTATTGCGGGGTACAAATCGCCTTTGTGTGTATCGAACGTAAGTTTTTGAACTGTATACTTTAGGGGTAAAAACTAATTGATTGACCTATTTTCGAACCTTTTACAACCAAATATAAAGGAATTATTATCGTTTTAAAAATTAAAAAAAATTTTAAAACGTGACTTTTTTCGATTTTTAATTAATAAATGTTAATCACTTTAAGCAAGAAAAGATACACTACAACTATTGACAGCGATTAATTAAAAAATAAAATAAAAATTCTAAATAAAAAATTTATTTTATTTTAAAACTTAAAATTATAACCTTCAGTTAATGTTAGATAATGAGTAGTACTTTTCTATGTAATTTGTAGAATTTAAAAAAATACTATAAAAATTGTAAAATCAGAATTCGAAAACTATATAATTTTTAGACAATATAAAATATTTCCCGCCCTTTCTTTACTTGTTTGTTTTAAACAAAGTATCGTATCTCAATCGAAAGTCAGGGGCGCAATAATAATTATATAGATAAAATATCTGAAAATATTCAATATACACTGCTGGGGCGCAATAATAGACTAAGATTTCTAGGTTCGACACTGCTTATTATTTATAATAAAAAAAAAAGAATTATTGTAAAAATGTTAAAATAATCAATATACTCACTTTACTGATAAGCGAAACAATCACAGTTTTTGGTGCTTTACATGATTTCATGTAGTAAGTGCATATTTACTATTTTTCAAATTGTAATCTTACAAGCGATTACATGACACTATTTTTTATTTTTACTTACTGAAGCAGAGCGACTGCCATGATTCTCCCTATTATTCTATAGTTCTGTCCTCATTATTGATTGTTTTTTCAGTCAATACTGTAGTAAACTCATTACATACAATAACTTTACACTAACTTTACATATTTCACCTATACTATTGAAATAATCAAATAATATTGATATGTGATAATTAAATTGGATTAACAGTCAACAAAATTTTGCATATGCAATATTCTAAAATAATGAAATAATTTTTGTAAAGACATAATATTTATTTGAATTATACAAAGATATAATGCAGTGGTGAGTATTTTTATTTTGTTTTTGCCGGCAATAGTTTTCCTTTACATGAACCAAAACCAATACGGAATTTATCGCCAACGCAGTAACCTAAAAAAAACCAATATTTTTTATCAAAAAAAAGGGACGCATGATTATGTTCTAAAAATCATTAGTTAGAATTTTCATTTTATGGAATTTCATTTGTCATAATTATTTTTGAGCCGAATTTTTATTTCTTCGAATTTTTATTTGCTCGAATTTTTATCAAAACGATTTTCTATATTACTGAATTTTAATATAACAGAAAATTCACTTCACAAAATTTTTATTCGTTCGAATTTTTATTTGTCAGAATTTTCATTTAATAAAATAGGCATTTTAAAGAATTTTTATTGGATGGAATTTCATTGAATGGAATTTTCATTTTATTCTTTCAGATGAATTTTCATTTGTTCGAATTATTATTTGATATAATTTCCATAAAACCGATTTTTCTGCAGAATTTTTACTTAACCGAAAAATCATTTAACAGAATTTCCAATTGATAGAATTTTCATTTGTCCGAAATTGCAAATAACCGAACAAACAATCGACAGAAAGAATTCGGCGCGATTTTTAAAATCAACCAATAAGAAATTATCCATAAAATTTTGATTGGTTGATTTTAAAAATCGCGCCGAAATCTTTCTGTTGATTGTTTGTTCGGCCATTTGCAATGTCGGACAAATGAAAATTCTACACTGAAAAAAAGGTTTGGTATTGACAACCAAACGTTTAATTGGTATTTAAGCAACCAAAATTTTTTTATTGTTTCAACAAAATTTTGGTTGTCCCAATTAAACTTTAGTTAGGACAACAAAAATCCTTTTTTTCTAATTTTGGTTGTGTTAAACAAATTTTGGTTGAGACAATTAAAATTTTGTTGATTCAACAAAAAAATTTTGGTTGCTTAAATACCAACCAAACGTTTGGTTGTCAATACCAAACCCTTTTTTCAGTGTATCAATTAGAAATTCTGTTAAATGATTTTTCGGTTAAGTAAAAATTCTCCAGTATGAAAAATCAGTTATATGGAAATTATATCAAAAAATAATTCGAACAAATGAAAATTTATGTGAAAGAAAATTCTATACAATGAAATTCTACCGAATAAAAATTCTTTAAAATGCCTATTAAGTTAAATGAAAATTCGATCAAATAAAAATTCTGACAAATAAAAATTCGAAGAAATAAAAATTCTGTAAAGTGAATTTTCTGTTATATAAAAATTCTGTAATATAGAAAATCGGTTTGATAAAAATTCTGCAAAATACTAATTCAAACAAATAAAAATTCGGCTCAAATGTAATTATAACAAATAAAATTCCATAAAATGAAAATTCTAACTAATTATTTTTAGAACATAATCATGCGTCCCAAAAAAATTACTAATGTCAAATATAATTCTTTTGTTGCTTTTTACCGTGCATAATAACTTCATCGCCGTCTTGAAGAAATTTTCTTGTTGTTCCATCTTGCATTTTTATTGGTTGAGTACCTTTCCAACTCAATTCAAGCATACTTCCGTATGAATCAGGAGTCTGGAAATTAAAATTTTTTAAATATTATATTATTGATAAATAAAAATAAAAGAATAGATTGTAAATTTAAATTTTTGTAAATTCCCTTACGTCTCCACTTATTGTTCCAGAGGCCAACAAATCCCCTGGATTTACATTGCATCCAGTTACGGTGTGATGTGCCAATTGTTGTGCTGGTGTCCAATACATAAATTTATAATTACTTCGTGAAACAGTTGTAAAAGATCCGTTTTGTGCTACAAAGAATAGTGAAAACTAATTTTTCATTATGTCGTTAAGATGCAATAATTATAGATTCAACTAAACAATTACAATAAAAATACTTACGTTGTATATGAACTTCAAGTTTAATATCGAAATTACAAGAATAATTATGTTGAAGATATGAAAATGGTTGAGGTTCTTGTGGTACATTTGGCACCTTAAACGGTTCAAGTGCCTCCATTGTTACAATCCAGGGAGAAATTGTTGTTCCAAAATTTTTAGCTCCAAATGGTCCAAGTGGAACGTATTCCCATTTTTGAATATCGCGTGCTTAAAACAATTAAATATATATTTTCAACATAGGTGAGAAAAAATTAAAAATACACCCTTTTTTTTCTTACAGGGGATTATTTCATTAAAAATCATTAGTTCGAATTTTCATTTTAAAAAGTTTTATTAGATATAATTATTTTTTAGTCAAGTTTTAATTTTTCGAATTCGGTGAATTAAAAACTCTGACAATTAAAAATTCGAATCACTTAAAATTCTAATGAATGAGAATTCAGCTAAATTAAAATTCGCTAAAATTAGAATTCATTTAAATATAAATAAAACCTAAAAAATCGGTTAATTTGTTATAAAAAAGAAATTCTGCCAAATGTTAATTCGAAAAATTAAAATTCGTCTAAAAAATAATTACAGTTAATAAAATTCTTTAAAATCATTCTAATTAATGATTTTGAATGGGCTAATCATTCTTACCACTCCAGTCATTCATCACAACCATTCCAAATATGTGATCATAAGCCTCGGATGCAGGAATACTTTCTCCTAATTTTGTTGATGGTCCTCCAACAAAGAAGGCTACTTCTAATTCGAAGTCTAAAAGTCTTGAAGGTCCATAAACAGGCGGTGTTCCTTCAACTGGAACAGTCTGTCCATATGGACGATAGATTGGAGTACCGGAAATCACAATTGAACTTGCTCTACCGTGGTAACCGACAGGAAGATATTTCCTTTAGAAAATCCGCATACATAATACATAATATATTTATAAATTTTATATTACATGCGTATTCGATTTTTTTATTACCAGTTTGGCATAAGGGCATTCTCTTTTCCTCGAAACATAATTCCAACATTTGTTGCATGATGAATGGATGAATAAAAATCAGTGTAATCACCAATCTTAGCAGGTAAATGCATTGTTGCTTTTTCTTGAGGTACAAATGATCTAAACATTTTTATTTATAGGACACATCAAAATGCGAAAGTAAATAATTTTTTTTTTCTTTAATAATGTATAGAAATTATTAAAATTACTTTGCTCTAATTTGTGGATCTTGTAAAGTTGAATTTTCAGCTGATAATAAACGTTGCAATGTATTTCTTGCTTCTATCCAGGATGATCTTCCAAGAGCCATAAATTCATTGAGACTATCTTGACGGAAGACATTTTGTTTTTTCTCCAAAAGTGGTCCAGTGAAATAATTAGCTATTGCGTATAAATCTAAAATTTGATCTCCAATAGCTACCCCTATTCGTTTTTGAGGCTAAAATAATTAGTAGAGGAAAAATTTGTTATACATTAAATTATTACGTAAAGCACTCGTAACAATAGGACACAAAAAAAAATTTATTTAATTCAAATACTCGATTACTTGACTATTATCAAATAAATATTTATTTGTATCAAATAATTATTATTTGAGATGATATTTGTTTCAAATACAATTTATTTAATTTAAATAAAAATTATTTGGTTCAAGTAATCGAATATTTAAATGAAATAAATTTTTTTTCAGTGTAGCGCTTTGTTTTTTATTTATTTTTTTCATAAGTAATTCGTATGATAATAATAATAATTCGATAATGTAATTCGTATTCGTAATTCCTAAGCATTTTTATATTTTCTAAGCGCGGAAACTTTTGTAAATAAATAATTATAAATTTAAATACGCGAAAAAAATTTTTAAATAAAATCTATTAAAAATTTAAGAAAATTCTACTAATAATTTCAAAAATTTTCCAGATTTTAAATAAATAATTTAAAAAATAATAATAAAAAAATTACACAAGAATTATATTTTTTTGAATTTTTAGTAAAATTTGATTTTCTCTTTAACCGTTTCATGATATATATTGTATTTTTTCTAACCGTAAAAGTCGACTGAAGAGAAACAATAGTTGACTGTAGGTATGACTATTGATACCATCAGTCGGTATGTAATCTACGTATTACAATTTTTATCATTAGATGGTGAATAGTATTTCTATTCCCAAGATCTAGTCTATTAACTATAAAAAAATATATCTGAATTATATATACGTATTTTAGTAAATTTAAGTTCTTTGATAAAAAATGTTAATAAATATTTATCATTTCTATTATAGAGATTACAATTACATTAATTTGCAAATTATTTCTTCACTGCATATACGTAAACTTATTTTCATTTGATACCGTTATTCTTTATATTTCCCTAACAGAATTATTTTATTTCACTATCAATCAATCATTATTTATTAGTTATAGATCTATCGTTCTCAAGATTCCTGAAAATGAAAAAAGATCCGAATTTTTTTTTATATTTTAATAACATTTATTTTAAAAAATAAGAGTCATTTTTGTTTTCACTGATTCCAAATTAGGCTAAAAAATAATTAATTCACGAGGTATATTTTCTGGTGTAAACTAGTGTTATCTATCTGTTTTAGCTTAAACTAACAAACTAAAAATTCTGATTTACAATGATAACATTAATAATAAAAAAAAAAAACTTACGCAATCTGTAGTAGAAAAAACTCCATATGGAAGATTTTCAATAGGAAATTCACAATCCGGCGAGTATTCAATAAAAGAATTCATATTTATGTCATATATATATAAGTTGACTGACTACGTGAACGGTTCTAAGGAAACTGTTAAGCATATACTTATGCTGCGATAGCAAAGGTTCGAGGACGACAACAACTCCATATGATAATTTATTCAAACTGTTTAATATACTAAAATAAAACGTGTTGAATGAATAAATTAAATTATTTTTAAATAAATATGTTTTGTATGGGAATAACAAGTACCGATTAAGATGAAAAATAATTAAAATAAACAAATGAAAAATTTATAATTGCAACTATAATAATTGATATAATATAAATAAGAACTTTGGAAAAAATAATTTAAGAAAATGTAAAAATATGCGTAAGTGTCAGGGTATTCTTTATCAATTAAAATTTTTTGCATCTTCATAAATGTAAAATTGACAGGTTGAATCATTAAATTTCACTAAGATTACTAATTAAAAAAATTGTCCCAAGGTAACAAAAATAAATTAACACAGAGTCAATCCATTATATTTCGACTAAAGTCGTTGCTGACTGATTTTTAAAAATTATAATACTTTGCAGGAATATGATTTAGAAGTTATCAATATCATGAAATGAAAAGAATTTTATTAAAAATTTAATTATTTATTGTAAAATATGAATTTAAAGTATATGAGGTGCTGAAAACTGTCAATTTTTTAGCTATTAGGAAATATGAAAGAAAACATAATTTACCATAAAAATAAAAAAAAAATTATTGTAATTTAGTAAGAATGAATAAATTTATCATTATCAATTAATATAATTATTTAAATATGTGAAAAAAATATGATTTTCAAGTGCACTTGTCAAATAACCTAATTTTGCGATTTTTATACATTAATTATAAAAAATAGGAAACATTAAAATAAAAACATACCAAATATGAAGTTCTTGTGATAAAATTTTAGAATTTTTTTGCACTTTTCTTCTTTCTTCTTTAAAAGTATAAAAATTTTGCTTCCTCATGAGGAAGTTTTGCATTCGTGACGATTTTCGATTTTTTAAAATTGGGTTATATGGACTCATTTTCATCTAGAATTAATATATATGAAGTCCTGAGCAAATGTCCAGATGTATGTGTGCGTGTCACAAAATATTGTGTACAAATTATTTCAGAAATATTTTAACGGATTGTCTTGAAATTTTGTATGATTATTGTAATCATTAATACCTAAAATCTGACACAAAGATTTCCGAATATATTCACAACATTTTAGTTTTTACAATTTTTTACAATTAAAACGATCCTTCTTTTAATCTTGAATATAAGTGTATCATGATGAGGAAGCTAAATGGTCATGAAATAAACACCTGTGACGCCGCACGAGAAAAGGTACCTATCCCTAAAATAACATTAGGCTCAGTTTTCCGTGCAGTACTCTAAGCCTAATGTTATTTCGGGGATAGGTACCTTTTCTCGTGCGGCGTCCTATTTAATTTTTTTATTGTTTTTTTCGCATAATATTTTATTAATTTTTTATCCCATCAGAGTTGTTATTTATTTTTTTTAAAAAAAATAGCCATTTTGTTCATTTTCACTATTTTTGAAAGTCAATAACTTTCTTCGAGAAAAATAAAAAAATATGCACTGTAAAAAATCTTTTTGGAGATTTTACATTCACAATTTGTATTTCTGTTAAAATTTGTAAAATTACTATATTCAATAAGGTTATGTTACCACATTAAAAAAAGCACTTTTACAATTTTCTGTAAATTTACTACTTTTAAAGTGGGTAATAGGTAGGTGAAACATAATTAGTTGTTGCATCTGTCACCTATTACCCACTTTGAAAGTAGTAAATTTACAGAAAATTATAAAAGTGCCTTTTTTTAATGTAGTAACATAACCTTATTGAATATAGTAATTTTACAAATTTTAACACAAATAAAAATTGTGAATGTACAATCTCCAAATAGATTTTTTACAGTGTGGGGTTTTGAAATTTAATTTCAAGAAAATTTATACGGAAGTTTGTGTTTTTCCAAATGAAGTTATTATTGTGGAATTTATTTATTATAAATAACACCGAAACTTTTGTGAAATGCAAAGAAAATTTTTTCTATATGTAGGAAAAATTAATCTCATTTAAATTGTTGTATATAAGTTATGTCACTGGGGTCGAAATGCGTTATTCTTTTCTTTAAATCAGAAAATTTATAACTATGTCTTACTTAAGGTTATGTGATTGCTATAATTTCACAAATAAATATTCATTGTAAGTTTTCTCGCGCAAAATACTTGAAGGCAGTGTCAGAATAGGAGCAAAAAGGCCAACGCAGAATAGAAACGTAACCGTTATCGCAATCGTGAACGGAAGAATAAAGGTGCTTTTTACCTCCAGTATTTTGGTCAAGCAATCGGCTGGATTCGATTTTCACGGTTGTATCACTGAATTTGATTGGCTCTGACAAATATTAGATTTTCACTGTGAAAATTGAACTTTTTTAGAGCCAATCAAATTTAGTGATTCTCAGTGAAAATTCAATCCAGCCGATTGCTTGACCAAAATACTAGAGGTATAAAAGTATCTTGAGTTAGATAAGGATAGTCATATATAATTGTTGTTCTTCTCTTACTAATTCTTCCGTTTGCAAATGCGATTACGATTCCGATTACGTTGCTATTGTGCTTAGGCCTAAAGGCAGTGCAAGCTCAAAAAAAGCCATAAGTGCAAGAGAGTTAGGTAGTCTAGCTATCTCTCTTGCACTCATGGTTTTTTTTTGGACTTGCACTGTCTTTTGCACCTATTGTAGAACCTCCGTTCATACTTTGAATTAAAATTTTGCCATTTGTGGAGAACTCAAAAATAGTATAACGATTCGTTGTCATGTGAAAAATGTTCATACTTCTCATTTTATAAAGAAAAATTTAAGGGACAAAAATCGGTTTTTTATTTTTTAAAATATGAAGTACCTTTTCAATCATTTTGGCAAAAATATATATATATGTTATATTTCAGGTGAAAGAAAAAAAAATCGTTTCAAAGTAAAAAAAAAACTTTTTTTAGTGCCTTCCTGTGCGAGAATTTGGTCGCCAATTTTTTTTATAGAAATCGGTTCTGCCGATTTTATTTGAAATCATGAAAAAAGAGTTAATTAAATAAAAAAAAATGATGTATACGTATTATAAATATTGATTCAATCAACAGCAGTTTATTAGACATTGATATACAGAAGGTGTTAAGGGTTAGTTTTTGGATAAATATTTTTTTTTTCCACGGCGGCACAACATGCTCACGAAACAATATAGAAACATATTTATAATTACATATATCATTATCATGTCTCTTTGCAATGTTGATTATTAATTTATACTTTTTTCAGGCCAAGATATGTTATACTTTAATTTTCAACGAGCATACAGTACAATTATTGTATGCATATACATATACAATATATATATAGTACATAGCGAACGCGTTCCTATAATATAATATATATATAATTACACATCGTGTACGACATCATACGCGTAAGTATAATCTTATTGACTGGAAGACGTAAGATTTTGTTGTTATTCATGTTACCTTGTACATATATATTATAACAATTCTCTCATCCTCGACGGTGTATACATATTATTTGTACCGGTTTCCTCACTTTAACAATAAACGTAAATATATAATATATATATGTATATTACTGTATGTATATCTATAAGGCTCTACACTGAAAGAAATTTTTCTTCATTCTGACTAATCCAATATTTTATTGGTGATTTTGTTATACTGTCATAATGCGCTTGACTGTATCGCAAACAAAACAGTAGGCTAAAGGCCTGAGCAGAATAAAAACGTAACCGGAATCGTAATCGCAAACGCAACCGGAAGAATGAGTTAGAGAAGGACAAACAATATGTCTATCCTTCTCTAACTCATTCTTCCGGTTGCGTTTGCGATTACGATTCCGGTTACATTCCTATTCTGCGTTGGCCTAACCTTAATTAAGAAACAGTTCAAACATAAGTTTAAAGCTGTTATTACGAGAGTATTCCTTTAAGTGTATTAACAATATACCTAATAAATTAAAAATGTTTATGCATTAATGCATTATTTGTCTTATTGTCAGCACAGACAGTGTAAATGTTTTTTTTTATTTACATACTTATTATTATGAAGGAAAAATACATTCAGAGAACTTGGGTGACATTAATTGCATATTTACATATAATTATTAATTAAAAACTATTTTCAAATATAAAGAACATTATTGTCAAATTATATGCCTATATAAATTGCATTAAATTTTTTGTTTAAAAAGAAAAAGCCTATAATGCTTTCCAAAAATTGTGTATTTTTGAACCCAAGTAGCACGTAATATTACAAAAAATTTCAAAAAACACTTAAAATTATTTGACTGATTAATTCTTATCTTTTTGTGTTTTATCATAAAAAAAACTTTGAAATTTTTATGTATTTCAAATAAACGTGTAATATTACCATGAGGCGGACATTTTAATATTACTGTAATATTACGTGCTACTTGGGAAAGAATTTATTCAAATAAAATAGTATTTTATAATCTAAATTAAACTCGTAAATATATGTTTTATAAAATTTTGATTATAAAATCAAATATTTAAAATCTGTAAAGAAATTTTGTCAATGTAGTTGTAACTTTATGACGTTTTATTTTCACAGCCAACAATATTCTTATTATACTTAAAATCTACATTCTATTATTTTTAAAGCCTTTTAAATTTTACAATACTTAAAAAAAAGGTTGTAGTTTACATTGTTTTTTTTTTATTGGAAAGTAAAAAATGAGAGGAAATCGGTACAATAACATTTCAATATTTCTTTCACATCATAATATATAACTAAAAAAAAATCAAATAATATTTAATAAATAGTAAAGTACTTCAAACAGAATATTACAATTTTTTAAAAATCCTGCTTTTTGTAATTTTAACGAAGACATAATGCGGATTTTCGTTGAAAATTTTTAAATAAGAAAAATTTTTGTGATAAATATATATATAACCAAATTGATTTAATATATTGATTAAAAATATATATATTCCTTTCAAAATATGGTACTTTATAGAATTGTATAGATTGACTTTGATTTAAATTTATGAATTATATAGGATGTTATTTATATGATTTTGGAAACGGTAACATCAACGGTCAACATCAACAAAATTGATCATATATATTATATAGACAATTTACATATGTTTTAAATATAACGTGCTTCCAAAAATACACTACAGGCCATTTTTATTTTGCACGTACCTTATACAGTATAAACTGCGTTGTGGTATATTGTCTGAGTTTCTTTTACTGGACTGTCATTTTTTTTTTAAGCATTTAAAAATTGTTTAAGGTAATCTTTTTCACCTCATGTATAACGGGCATATATATATACACATCAATTTTATATGAACTGATATTAATTATTTTTTTCTATACACTGAAGAAAAAGTTATTTGGTTCAAATTATCGGTTACTTGACTAATTATTAAATAAATATTTATTTATATTAAATAATTATTATTTGAATCAATTAAATTGTATTTGTTTTAAATAAAGAAATTATTGGTTCAAATACAATTTATATTTCTAATCAAGTAAAAATTATTTGGTTCAAGTAAATATTTATTTGATAATAGTCAAGTATGGTGTCCAGCGGTCCTTGAATATCCTTGAATTTTATAACAAAAAATTGCATTATCTCTTGCTTAAATTTTTAAAAAATAAAAATTTAAAACATATAATTGCAATGATTATGATTTATGATTGATTTATCGTCATAATTAAAAAATTATTTTCATAGTTTTTACGCCGAAAGTGGACATAAAAAAAAAAATGATTTTGAACCTTGAAAAATTTTGTAAAGTCCTTGAATTTTCTTTCAAGAACCATTGAACTCAGGAAACCAAGAAATCGATTATTTTTAATCAAATAAATTTGTTTTCAGTGTACTATGCAATTACAACAAATATATACTCTAAAATAAAATCTTTTCAAAATAAAAATCATTATTCTATTGAAATAAAAGACAAATATGGTCTTAAATTAAAAATTAATCCAGTCCTATATCTTATATATGAAAATTAATTTTTTCTAAACAAAAAATTTAAAACTATTCTATAAAATTTGAACAATATCATGTTTGTTATAAATATGTATCAAACGTATATATGTTCAATAAATTATAGAATTTTTTTTTTAATAATAGAATACCTTCTATATGTTATATATTTGTTTTGTATTTACTTATAATTATTTTTTTTTAATTCCACAGTAGTGAATAATTGCAATTAACTACATGAAATCGAATCAATTGATAATTATGATTCAGATTTTTGTTTACCTTGTACTTAAATAAATTCCTTTATTGTGTTTTACATAGGCTCGGTTTGATAGCATAAATAACAAATTTTAACAGGAATAAACAAAAAAAAAAATTGTTCTTCCAACAAGTTCCAGACATTCACTATACATTTTAAAGCGCAAATAAAAACGATTTTTTTCTTTTTCTCATTGAAGGGAATTTTGTTAAAAATGCGTTGAATTTTCAAAAAAAAAAGTAGATATAATGATGTAAAATTAATTATTTATGTGAAAGTATAATTTTAACATATAATTATTTGATAAAACATACTTTCATGGGTTTTGTATTTGTTTATGTTATTGAGGGACTTTCATAAATTACGTAATTTATTTTTCAGAAACTGTTTTGCTACTTTCTCTTTTTCATGATTTAAAAAAAAATTATTTTTTTTTGATAAAAAAACTGAAAAAATATTTTAAGAAAATTTTTAAAAAGATTTTAAAAACTAAAAATTTGTAAAATCATTATAAATTGATAAAATTTGATTTCGTAATATAAAAAATATTAAGATAATATAATTTTGAAAATATTGTTTTCCGAAATTAGTTACGTTATTTATGAATTTAGAAATAGGGTATCACGATACAAAAATGATGGGCTCGGATATTTTTTCCCACATATTTCCATTAGAAATTGTTTCGTATCGATGTTATTTTGAAAAAAAAAATCGTAACCAATATTCTCGCGTGATCAACCTAAATTGATGTCCCCCAAAATATATTTTACTATATTTATATGAATTATATGTATATATTCTTTTCTTTTTATTCATTTTCTTCAAATTCATTAACAATAAACAAATATTTTATATTTTGATGTGTTTTCTTATTTCACATTATATATATATATATATATATATATCTATAAAATGTTTCTCGCAGAAAGTAATAATTTAATAATAAGCAAAAAATATTTCATTTTTGATATAACTTATGAGGTTTAAATTTTGTGTTATTTATAATGAAACAAATCTCTTTTCAATATATTGAATATTAATGAATTTGTATAGATAGTCTCTTATTTATATAACAATAAAAAATAGTTATTTTTTTTAATAGCTTTTAAAATAAATATTCTATATTGCTTTGTCATATTTTATATATAATAAATTTGTTTATCTCACCTTTTTAAAATAGTAATTAGGTATATATTGACTGATGTTAAATTTAAAAACTTATTACAGTGGAACCTCGATTATCCGAACATCTATTATCCGGACCCTCTATTATCCGAACCGAAAAACATTTTATCCGAACTTCTATTATCCGAACTATTTTTTGGTCTCCCGAATTTTAAATTTTATTTTCTCTATTTATTTTATCATTCATATTTTCGCGGGACATTTTGGCAAATTTATGCCAAAAAAATCTTAAAAATTTCCGAATTTTCTGAGTTTTTAATATACATATTATTAATTAATATATATTTACATATATTTATATACACGGAAAAAAAGAAAAAGTAATTTTTACTACTTTCATAGTAAAATTGGACCTGTCCGAAGTTTCTGCGCATCTCTGGCAACTTTTACTCAAAAAATAGTAAAATTTACTATTTTTGTAATAATTTTTACTATTTCTGGAGTAAATTTTACTATTTCTGGAGCAAATTTTACTATTTTTGGAGTAAAAGTTGCCATAGATGCGCAGAAACTTCGGACAGATCCCATTTTACTATGAAAGTAGTAAAAATTACTTTTTCTTTTTTTCCGTGTACTTATGTATATTTAAAAACATATGTAATAAGTTAAATAAATAGTTCAACTGTACATTTTTTTACTTTAATTATAAAAAAAAATTAAAATCTCTATTATCCGAATTTTCGATTATCCGAACCCGGCCTTGCCTAGATTAGTTCGGATAATCGAGGTTGCACTGTATATGCAAGAAGAAATAGTGAAAACGTAATATCAATTTTTTTTTTTGATAAGGCTTTAGATTTTAGGAAAAATGTGTCAGATTAATTATGCATTTTTGAAAATTTTTTTTCGAAAACATATTCTTATAGTGATGAACTGCTTTTTCTTAAATTAAGAAAAATATATTTTTAAACGATAATTTTCCGATTAAATGAGAGAGAGAGAGCTTTACTTGTAGCGATTCTCAGATTATATACCTATAACATATATTTAATTTTCAACTTATAAAGTATATACTTATATGCTGATTGAGAATATTATACGCATCTTTTGCGAACTATTAGAAGCTAATTTAAAATATCTACTATTACAAAGCGCATTATATCTCCACATGCACTTTTTGTTCGCTTCTTACTTTCTTTGATTGGCTGTAAAGACTTCATAAAGACGCCAACACCTACATATATCATCATCGATTTAACAAATTTTTTTTTCTAATATTGCAATGTGCCATAAGAAATGTTAATTTTCATTTTTTATACAGGTACTTAGATACCTATATAATTACAAAACTATAAATTAAACTATTCGACAAAAATGTCTTTTCTTTTTGCCCCTGGAATAGTTTCGAAAAATTTTTTTAAATAAAAATCTGTAAACAAAAATTCTCCAGTAAATGTGGTTTTTGAGAAAATTAGTGTTAAAAAGTCAAAAGTTACAGTACTTTTCATCATTTTCCAAAAATATATTTTTTTAATTAAATCCAATGTTTTAGTAAAAAATAATGTAAAAAATGAACATTAAAAAAATAATTAATAATTAAAGTGAAAATCAAAATCGAATTATATATATTTCAATCCTAAATTTCTATTATAGTTTTAAAAATTATCTTTCTTATTTTCAGTTAAAAATAAATATTATAAAAATGTACGAATTCTTTTGAATGATAATTATTCGAAATTTTTTTAGTTAATTTTTAAAAAAGAATTAAGATAATTGAATACTTTAATTAATTGAAATTTATTTTTGTTATATTAAATGAAAATAATTTAGAATATATTATAAAATATATTCTTATGGAAGAAAAGATTTCTATTTTATATTCTATTTTTATCAATTTATAATTTTTGTTTAGAAAATATAAATGTATTTTGTAATTTAATATGCAACAAATAAATTTTTGTCAAAATTATATTTATTTTTAAATCGTGTTTTATCTTATATTCATTTAAAAAATTCTCAGATACAGTTGTACTTTTTTCCGTGCAGTAAAAATTATATTTTTGAAAATTTTATAAATTTTTTTGAGCCACCATAATATTTAAAAAGAGTTTTTTTTAAACACTTTTTTCAAAAACTAGAAATTTTTCTTTAAAGATTTTTATTTAGCGTGAAAAAATTGATCGAAAGTGATAAATGCTATTCCAGAGGCATTAGTATTAGACAGTGTTAGAATTTAATATTATTATATAGAAAAAAAAATTGTCTAATTTAAAATTAGAAAATTAATTGACAAATGTTGGTATTTCAAAAACTTCTCAATAATAATGCTTTTGTTTATTTAATTTATACTCTTTCTTCTTCATTTCTTATGACTTTTTGCACGTAAACTACCAGTTCACCCATTTATCGGGTAATTGAAATTCTCAGAAAACGAGTAAAATGTAAAATACTATTTATATATATAAATATCCAACAAATAATTATCTAAACAATCAAATCACATTTTATAAAATTTTAAATTATTGCACCTAATTGTAATTTTTTTTTTGAAACTGTCCAAATTATTATATATATATACTATAATAATTAGCAGTATATTCATTCGATGTTCTCAAAATGAAGTTTTTTTATACAAGAAACTTTATATAGAAATAGTTTCAATGATATAGTAATAAAATCATTACTTTTGCTACAAAACAGAAATATTGAAAAAATGATCTTCTTTATATAGAAGAAGCAAAGAACATGTATTTCTAAGATGTACTTTTAAGTGGCAGGTGTATTTTATACTTTGTGGAAAATCGATACACCTGGGTATTGCATTTTTTTTTTGCATATGTTTTATCTTAATATTCGTGGTTGAGATTAATTGGCTTTCAGTGATTTTATACATATTGATATATGACATTTTTCTTATGGTTTTTGTTTACTTGTACGTACCTATTTATATATAGATATTATTTTTTTTTGCAATATATTTCTAGAAATATATGCCATTAAAAAAATGCCATATAACCTTGAGTCACCTGAAAATTTTGATGCGGTCATTATATTTACAGATCATGACCCAATCGATCCATTTCTGCCAATAGGAAATCAACATCAGCTTCTGTTACTGCAGCACTTGATATAATGTTTCTAAAGAAATTTGGTCTTCGATCATCTGGTTGATAACCTACCATCAAAGTACCAGCTTGCATCATTCGACCTTTTAAAATAGGACATATCTGCAAAAAACAAAAAAAAAATTAAATTTAGTTTTGTCTTATTTATACACTGAGAAAAATATGCTATTGAATCAACAGCATTTCTGCCAAAGGTATAAAAATTATTGATTCTAAAGCATATACTACAGAATTTGTAAAATATTATATAGATTCTATAGCACATGCTTTTGAATCAATAATTTTTATACCTTTGGCAGAAATGCTGTTTATTCAATAGCATATTTTTTTCAGTGTATACATAAAACGTCTACGCAGCATAATATCTTTTCTAACTTGTACTTAATAATTAAGACTTGATATCAAAACCATACAAAATTTTTCAAAAAAAATGTTAGATTGGATACAACATAAATGCAGTTATTTTTACATTATAAATATCTACATTCTTATTTTAATTAATTTTATTTTTTTTGAATTGAAAAAATTTTTGTTTGTTTCTTACTTCTGAACACTGAAATTTTTTTTTCTTTTACAAAAAAGATATTATGCCGTGTCGGTTCAGTAATAAAAAAATCTTACTTCTCCTAAGATTTTTTCTCTTTGCGAAGTATGTGGCATGTTACGAACGCGAGATGGCAGGTACCAGAAACATACATTTACTAATTCAGGTTCAAGAATTAAATAAAATTTATCAGACATTTCTTTAATTCGACGAACCATATAATCTGTAAGTTCCATTAGTCGATCCATATGTTTTTCGAAACCATCTGTACCCTATATTAAACAAAATTTTTAACAAAATTGATATACACCTTTATAGAATATAAGATAATAAAATAGTTGTTTTTATCAAATAAAATACCTTGGAACGCCATTGTAACCAAAGTTTGAAGATGTCATTGTGTCGTCCACATTGAATAACTTTGTCGCCAGTATCATATTTTACATCATATAATTTATCAGTCATAAATAAATATTCTGCAGACATTTGGTTGCAACTAATCAGAAGACCCTATAATTTTTAAATCAATTATAATTAATTTCAAAGTATGAATTTTTTTTTTTTTTTTGTAAATTCTTATTTTGTTTTATTTATATGTAGTTTCTTTTCTTATATATTGTCAATCGGAGCTATTACGGTACAAGCTACCCTAATAACACAAGATATCTTGGGATATATTGATAATATCCCGCAGATATCCTAGGGATGTCCTATGGATATCAAAAGGATCTCTTAAGCATATCCAAAAAATCGGCGGTTTGGATATCCTTTGGATATCCCATGGATATCTGAGGATATCCACAGAATATCTTCTGGATATCTCTATAGACTTTCATAAATGTCCTCCAGATATCCCATAGGTATCGTCAGGATATCCCATAGATATCGTCAGGATATCCCATAGATATTGTCAGGATATCCCACATATATTTTCAGGATATTCTCAGTATATCTTCTGGATGTCAAGAAGATATTTTCAGGATACTGTTTTTAAAGTCATTATGAGACTACGAGTGAGAATATTCTATGAATTAAATTTTATATATAAAATAAAATAAAATGCAACTTGTTTTTCGAGAAAGTTGTTTAATTTGAAAAATTATTAACTAATTTTTTTCTCATTCGTGATTCATTTCTTTATTCATATGCTTAATATTGTCAGAAAATAAATTGGCTTTAAACAATATAAATTCTTCCCCGCAAATAACGAATAACTATTAATATTAATTATACATTAAGTGCATGAGTTTATTTAAAAACTTTAAAAAATGCGTTTCAAATCTTCATTTAAAATAAATTAGAAGCTCATAAGATTTTTGTTTTTATTATATATTATTATTTATTATATTAGCTTAACAATTTCAACCTTTAAAAATATATGTTGAGATATTAAATATCCCGTGAATATCTTAAGAATATCACACGGATATCCTGCGATATAATATCCAATAGATATTTTGTGGATGTCTTAGGGATATCCTGTGGATGTCCTGTTGATGTCCCACAGACCGGCGGATTGGATATCCCATTGATATCCAAAGATATCCTGGGGACCATTCTGGGATATCGACCATTGATATGGATATCCTATGGATATCCTTTTGTTATGAGGGTAGTTTTTCATTTGTAAAATATTCATTTCGAAATGTTAAAATTTGTCACCTAGCTGTAATTACAGTTTGACATTTTGGCAAGAAAGTAACTGTAATGTTATTAGTAAATTCGGTTTTAGAAATCATAAAAAAATTTATAATAAGACGAAAACATTTTGTTGAAAATTGGGAAGTTTTGTAAAAATTTACACAAATCATAAAATTCACATGTTTAAAATTTAGTTATTAGTTATGACAATATATACTCGATGAGCTAATTTTTTATTAAATGTTTTAGAAAAAGTGTCTAAAACTGAAAATCTACAATTTGCAAGGTACAAATATTAAAAATAATTATTATACGAAAATTTATTTCCTAATAAGTAAAAAAAAACTTCGGTGCTTCGATTTTTACTGAGGTTTTCGGGGTCACTAATTACGAATCCGAAGACAGTTTTTCAAAATTTAAAATGTCGGATCCAATATGGCGGATAAATTTTTTAAAATTCATCGAATTTGCTTGAAATTTGTTACTCGGGAGTTATCAGGGTCACTAATTACGAATCCGATGTCAGGTTTTCAAAATTTAAAATGGCGGATCCAATATGGAGAATATGAATTTTTTAAAACTCATCTGATTTGCTTGAAAATTGTAACACAGGGATTTTTAAGGTTGGCTAATTACGAATTCGATGTCAGTTTCTTTAAAATTTTAAATTGCAGATCTAATATAGTGAATGAATTTTTTAAAATTCATCGAATTGGCTTGAAACTTATCAGATAAATTTTTGAAAAAAGTTACATTTTAATAAAACTTGGTATTTAAGATATTTTGAAGTCACTGATTGCAAGTTTCAAGCAAATACGATGTAATTTTAAAAAAATTCAGCCGCCATATTTGGTCTACCATTTAAAATTTTAGAAATCTGACTTTAAATTTGTGTTAAGTTCGTAAAAGTATACAAATAGGAAGTGTATTTTGTATATTTTCTATTGATTTTATAGTAAAATGTATAATTCTTGAATTTTTAAAAATATAATTCCTAAAATGGTTTTTTATTTTTATTTAGCAATAAGAATACTTGGACTAGAGTTAGTAATTTAAAAATTTAAGATAACCCGGCAAAAAGAAATCGATTAAATAAATGAATTAAAACGACTACAAATATCGTGGAATTTCAAACGCTTTCAATCCAATAATGTATAATGTCGATTTTGAACTTTCACGTTTTAATTCCTTTGGAGGGCATTCATGTGGATACATGTAAATTCTCTTTTAATTCCTGATGAAAATCGCACACATTTTAATTCCGATACGTTAGCGAGAATTAAAATCAGTTAAATCCTGTTTTATATCTTAAAAATTTGAAACCAATTAAATTCCGTTTAAAACGTAAAAAATACTAGCAATTTAATTCATTTTAATCAAAAGGAATTAAAACGGATTAAAATGTTTGGAAATATGATTATTTAACTTTAGCATAATGGTTTTACCTCTTCTTGCCGGGTTCAAATATTTAAATACTTGTTTAAAAGTTATTATGATTTTAATGAATTTATGATTTACATTAAAGGATTAAGAAATAGTATTTTTTGGAATTGAAAGTTTTTTAATTTGCGTATCAAATGCAGAAAATTATGGAATTATATTTGCCAAAAACAGTTTGTGTAACGGGTCAATAAGAAGATTCGCACGTGCGCAGTGAATATCAAGCAGAACAATATTGAGATTCTAAAATGGCTGTCATATTGCATTATGAAATAGCCATTTTATAATTTTGTTAAATGAAAATAATTAACCTTACATTAAAAAGAAAAAAATATTTCAGTAAAAATAAGTTTGAGGATTGTGAGGTAAAAGATTTCAAAAGCAACCAAATTTTTTATATATTGATAATAATATAAATAAATGCAAATTTTAATTTATCTTTGATGCATATTAAAGATTCTTATCTATATATATATAGATGACAAAAATTTGTATACACGGAATTGAAAAGAAGATTGACGTCATGTAATATATTTATTATTGATCATTCTTTTTTCATAGAAGATTGATTTCTGAAAATGGAGAAAATTTGCAAAAAAAAAGAACGTTCCTCAAAACATTCTTAGGGTGAACAGCAGCCGGTGTACGGAATTTTAATATCTGGAGGGGAAGAACCGAATAGCAATAACTAAACTCCGAAGGGGATGTACCCTCTACTCCCCACTATACACCGAGCTAGCAACATATGTTATCTCTTAGCTTAATTAAATTCCTGCAGTGTCCCGTTTGCGAAGTTGCGTTTGCAAACGTTTTGGAATGTCACTACCACGTCATCGCTTTCGGGGCCGAGGAGGCCGATATGTAAAGAATTTGACCTAAACAGTAATTTTTCTTTTTTCAACGAAAATTTCTTATCAATCAAATTTTTCACTAAACGCATATACATAATCAATTCGATACGGATTTACGGAATTTGGGGTAGTGAAAAATTATTGTATTGTAAAAAAGAGCAACGTCAATTTGAAATAATTTTTTATGTTTAGGGTGATTATAGAAGAAAATCGGGATATTATACCTCCACTTTTTGATTTTTTACACCTACTTTTTTTTCAAAAATTTTACGCATGAAAAAGTAGGATATAAAAAAAGACGCATGTCTTTAAATCAGAACGTTTGGTCACCCTATTTATTTTTATAATTTTAACTGTTCCAGTTGAATAATGATAAGTTGGAGAGATTTTAGTTTCAAATTTTGGAAAATTGCTGCTCTATATGTAACAAATTTATAAAGAAACGTTAAAATTTTGTTTACTCTCTATAATAGGACATTTTGGATATTTTCACTTTCTCTTCTATTAATTTTAATATTCACTTTCATTTCCACTAATTAGAAATTAGTAAAAATGAAAATAAGGCTGTTTCCACAATAGCTTAATCGAATCGTCTTATTTTTAGGACAAGACAATGCGCACGCATCTATTGCCAACTGTCGATAAAAAATTTATGCGATGCGCGCGCATTGTCTTCAAAACGATTCGATTACGTTATTGTGGAAACAGCGTGAAATTGAGAAAAAAAATTAGAAGCAGGGAAAGTGAAAATTATAATTAGTTGAAGGGTGTACTGAGTATGTTTAAAGTCGTATAAATTTATTAAAATTATTACTACTTACATCTTCTTTAAAGTGAATAGTAGAACACTGTAATAAGGCTCCCATCAGTTTATGAGGATTCCAGGTTACCGAATCAGCCCTGAAATATAATATTAATTTTTAATTATTTTCCAATGATTCACAAAACTTTTTTTAGATTATAAAAATGAAAACAATTATTTTGACAGCAAGAAAGGTACTATGCCAACTAAAATGACAGCGCTAAATTTAAAAACATATTAATTTCATTATTATTCAAGTACCTAAATTCCGTTCATGATCATTTTGAGTATTCGATACCCAACTCAAAATGAGTCTAAATTTTTTCTGTATACATAAACTTCATCTTTTAATCCACTATGTATAAGAAATGTCAAACTAAAATATATATATATATATATGACAAGTAAAACATTTGGTGGATTTATAGATAGACATATTAGAGATATATAAAGATGACAGGTCAAAAAAAAGAGTGTGCCAAGATGACTGAAAAAGCCGATCAGCCTCAGCTGGTCGTCAAACCCTCATCCACTCCCACGGGAGGTAATAGGGGATAAAATATGAGTTATCTTTGCCTGTTACCAGGAGGGTCTATCAATTCGAGAGTAGCTATTAATATAGCTGCGGGATCGGATTTATATCCCGTCGTGCTTATAGTCACACCCTTGTGGTAAATTTTATAACCCTTCCTACTGACACTGTCACTTTTATTCAATATATTATACTAATTATCAATTTCTAAACACAAGAATAATATTTATTATCTATGGGCAAATCCACGGAACCAATCGATTTTATATAACTTTTTTTTCATTTTAGAAATATCCTATTAATTATTTTAATATTTCTACTAAAATCGGTTATAAAATATCTCTCAGAACCTATTGGATTAAGAAAATTAAATAAACTTGAAAGTACAAGTTTTGAGTGCCTTGTTTAGAATGGGAGCATGTAAATTTCACTTGGAAATTCAGTAGAAAGTCCGAAATATGTAATTTATCATTTTGTATTTTTGACACCTGCATCACCCTGCTTTTCTCTATTCTAGTTCCCAGCCATGTATCGAAAAAAAGCTACCATTCCCTGCAAAGTGTCACAATTCGGAGGTGCCACTGATTATTTTATATTTTTAATGTCAACAAGATTTTGACATGATTCTTAACTTAAAAAATTATTTTTCATGTATTATTTTTAAATAAAAATCTAATATAATATTTTATTGCAGCGATCATTCAATTGCAATTTTATAAATTGAAGCTTTTTGCTTTTGAAAAAACGAAAAACTTAAATGTGCCATTAGAAGTAAAGGAAATATTACAATAAATGTAAAAAGTGCAAGTATGTGCCTGAAAATACATTAAATGTTTAATGTATTTTTTATTTTTCATTGATGTAGTTTTTTTTTTAAATTTATAGACTAAATAATAATTTAAACAAATGAAAATTCATCTGAAAGAAAATTTTATGCAATGAAATTCTACCCAATAAAAATTTTTGAAAATGCCTATTATGTTAAATGAAAATTCAAGCAAATAAAAATTTTGACAAATAAAAATTCTGTGAAGTGAAATTTCGGTTATATAAAAATTCTGTAATATAGAAAATCGTTTTAATGAAAATTCTGCAAAATACTAATTCGAAAAAATAAAAATTCGGCTCAATAGTGATTATGACAAATGAAAATCCATAAAATGAAAATTCTAACTAATGATGTTTAGAACATAATCATGTATCTCACCAAATAAATGATTTTGTTCATTTGAACGTTCAGAACTTCAGGAACATAAAAGTGGAATACTCTGTCATTTGTTATATTTTCATACTTGTATCGAAATTAGTAGCAGTGATTATAGATTATTGGTTAATTATTGGTTAAAGATGATCGATAATGAAAAATTGTTATTCAAAAAGGAATAACAAAAGAAAAAGCGATAGTTTTGATGAAACTTTGAATCAAATTTTTTTATTTTTATAGTAAGTGAAAATCTAACAATTCTGTGGATTTGTCGATTATTAATCTTCAAATGTTTTTTCAGTATGATAAATGAATTTTCGCCAAAAAAAACCTCTCTGAAGTCTTTTACTCATAAAATTTTTTCAGCACTAAAGGAAAATGGTTCACACAAAAAGATTATTATTCCTGAATATATTTATAACATATACATTTATGAATAAAATGTATGCATGTAATTTGAAATTTTTTTTACAGTTCTAAAGTTAAATCGTATAAGGTGTCGTGAATTTGTCCATATTATATTGGTTCTACAGAAACGCATCAAAGTTGGTGTCAAATTGGATGACCATTTTTGGGATGGTTTTAAGTACAGTATACTCAATTATTTATGCAAGATTGAAGTAGGGTAAGAATAATAACTTTCGTATTATGCATATATTAAAATATTACAGGTATATGCTTATAGCTTTATATTTTATGAGCGGGCTTTGTATTAAATGACAAATGTTATCGATACATGGCAACTGACATATACGCGAAATTCGACCCTTCTGCTTATTGACATTACAGCTGCAGCGAGGGTTCTGATTTCTAGTACTGCAAAAGTGATTTGTGTCACAAACAGGCGTTTACCATTAATCGTTACACAGTGCTCTTCTCAATAAATAACGCGAAAGCATCACAAGCATTAGTTGTGCCATAAACAGGACTTTCTTTGCTCAATAGAAAATTTTTCTAACAATTTTTCTTTGTTCGAGAATTTTCTTTTTTTGTCACAGAACATCGCATGTAAAAAGTGATATCCTTTTTGTTATAACAAATGTTACAATTCAGAAGAGTTAGTTTGAAGTTATTTTTCAAGAAGTAAAAATATTGTGGGTTAATCTTTGTAAAGTTGGATACATTTCTTTTTATGTTGTATATGAACAAAAGATAAAAAGAATTTTTCAGAATTGTTCTATCTTGAATGGAGATATTTTTCAATTGACATTTTGTATATAACGATTATGATACTTTTGTTACATAAAGCAATCGAATAGACTTTTTGCTTTTAAAATCAAAAAAAAAAATTTGTATTCCTTATATTGAAAAGAAGGAAACAAGAGTAATGAAGATAGAGCCGATGAGCGAATCCCTTTGTATGAGTTTAATCCAGCATTGTCAAGGCATGGGCTTTATTTCCAACTTGTGAGCAGCGCTGCAATTCTGTGTCGTGGCAATAAGAGCAGAGTTCTGTTCTGCAAATGCGCTCCAGGGAACAGATCCAGCTGTTGTTCTTCCTTTGGACTTGTGTCTTTTGCTCCTCCGCTTGCCATTTTAATCACGACCTTCAGGAAGGAAGTTCTTTACATGATGTACAGTCTAATGTAAAATGATTTTTTTTTCGCAAAAAATTTTGCAATACAAATAAACTGTACACCATTTTTATATCTGTGTTTTTTTTAGGTGATTGAGTTAATAAAACAAAATTTAAAAGAGTTTTTATGAAAAGTAATCAGAATGATGATATACTTATTAGATATATAGTATTGTTCTAAAATCGTCGAAAATTGCTCTCAAGAGACTCTTACACCCCAGCACTTTTGGGTCAGGAATTGTCTACACTCAAGTTCCAAGTAGGGGAGCGCAGATGCGCCCGGATGCAAATCGTGGATTAATCTCGCCAACCCCATTGAAATCTCGTCCCTATTTCAGGTTTGCCTCCTGCCCTCGTATATACTAAGTTGGAAGGGCTGGAAAATGTGAAAGTTGGCATGTGGTGTGGACAGGAGTCAGTCTTTTCAATCCCTTTTGTATCGCACATTACAACACATTCCCAATAGCCTAAGGAAACTCCTACAAAACGTATTGTAACATCTAAATTACTATCTTCGATTCAAGTTTTATTAACTGTTTCTCAGAGTTTAGAAAAAAAAGAGGAACTGATTAGATTCTTCTGATTAGATATAAAGAATAAAATTTTCATTTAATTTTCCAAAGATTTCAGAACAATTCGAGTTTTTAAGATAATGGTAGTCTTAAGGGCTAAAAAGTTCCTTCATCCAAGTATATATACGGTGGCACTTTCTTTAATCGCGGTTTATGTCGACGATCCATTATGTCCTGACTGACTTAAAGTTTCCCTGAGATTTTCACCAACACCCTCGCTCATTTTCATGTAAAGCTATTTTCCTGTGAGTCGATTGAAACGATCCACCTTGCGCCACCACTCGGAAACCACTGTATTGATTTTACTCTGGAAACCCTATACTGTACTCCTGGCACTGTATTTTTCGATGGATTCCATCAAAATAAGCCCCAATAAACTATAAAACTTAGGGATTAAGCTCGCACTCACACGTCCCCTTATATATATATATATGTATATAGGGTTCGAGAGATTTTCGAAATGTTCATATGTAACTGTCATTTTCAAACATAATCATGTTTAAATATCTTATACTCAATAACTATTCAAACTTTATAATGAAAGTGTCTTTAGTTTCTCACACTTACCGTTCAATACCTGTCAATTGGGGATGTCTGTGTTTCCTGGATAAAAGCAGTCCACCACCCCAAGCCGCCTAAAATCAAAAGAAAATTATTTTTAATAAATTAAAATCTGAAAAAAACATTTTTAAATTAATTTATATGATAATTGAAGTAATTTTAAATAAAGATATTGCGATAAATGTGTAAGATACATTTTCATGTATAGGAACTTTGACAGTTGCTATTTTCAAAATTCCCCTCAAATTGTTAGGGATGTCACGATAAAGCCTGTTGCTTCTCACATTTATTATTAATGCTAAGACTCTTACGCGTTTGGCGTTTACATCCCAGAGTTAAACTGCTGTATAAGTACTATAGATTTGAATGTCATTACTTTATACTTTTCGTTAATCTATCCCTTAAGACTCCTTAGATAAATATCAAGCACTAGGAATCTTATCAACTTGCTTTTAAATATTTAAAAGAATTATTAATTAATAAAAACAGGTTTAGAAAGAAAATGATCAATGATGATTTGAACAAAGTGTAGAAATCAAATCAGAAAGTATTGTTTGCTACGCAGATTATAAAAATCATTAGTTAAAATTTTAATTTTTTGAATTTGGACAAAATTTGTTTAAAAGAATTCAAAAAATGAATTTATTCAGCAAAATTCTTAATCAATCAAATTTTATGTGATTCGAATGTTTAAATACCAAAATTTCCAATTCACCGAATTTTTATTTCTAAGAATTGTTATTTGATAGAATTCTTAAAACGACGAATTTTCATTTGTCCGAAATTGTAAATGTCAGAACAACAAATGAACAGAATGATTTCGGTGCGATTTTTAAAATTTACCAATCACGAGATTGATACTTTTCTGATTGGTCAATTTTAAAAATCGTGTTGAAATTATTCTGTCGATTTTTTGTCCGGACCTTTTCAACTTCAGACAAATGAAAATTTGTCAAAGAATTCTATGAAATAACAATTCTTAGAAATAAAAATTCGGACAAATTAAGATTCGGTGAATTGGAAATTTTGGTATTTAAAAATTCCAATCACATAAATTTTGATTGAATGAGAATTATGCTAAATTAATATTCGGTAAAATTAGAATTCTTTTAACTAAAAATTTGAATAAAGAGAAATTATATAAAATGAAAATTCTGCTAAATAAAAAATTCGATACCTAAAAATTCTATTAAGTAAAAATTCGTTTAAAAAGAAATTCTGTCAAACTGCTAATTCGAAAAATGAAAATTCATCTAAAAAAAAATTATACCAAATAAAATTCTTTAAATAAAAATATACTTACGTCGACATGTAACCATAATTTGTATTTATGACAAATATCAGCAATTTCAGATATAGGATCGAAGGCTCCAATTACTGTTGTACCTGCGGTGGCACTTACAAAAAATGGTATGTGACCTTTGGCTTTGCGTTCTAAAATTAATTCTTCAAGTTTTGATGGAATTAAACGACCTCGTTCATCGCTTGGTACCATAACACAATTGTCAGTGCCTAAGCCACAAACCGAAGCGCAGGATTTTACAGAATAATGACACTGTCAACAAAAAAAACGAAAATCATCATAAAATTTTTGTTTTCGCAAACTATTAACCTTTTGCCATTCATAAACTAACATATGACATTTTTTTGGCGTTAGCAACAATTTGTTATGTACACTCGTGGCCAGATATGCCTTTACACTTTTTTGTCCTTTTCTAACGCACATGTTGTCATGGCAACATGTGTGTTAGAAAATGACAAAAAAGTGTATCATTTAGGTAATATATATACGCAGAAAACCTCAATTTACCCATCCCTGATTATCAACACAAGCACATCGGCTTTTCTTATAATTGGGAAAGTTTCCATTGTCCCCACTAGCCATTTGTTATAATTCTTGTCAACTACCGCACTCTGCTCTAGTGACAATTTAGTGACTTTATAGTAACTTTTAATTTTAACAATAAAATCACTAAATGTGCTTCAATACCTCCGGTATTTTGGACGAGTGAATCGACAGAATGGTTTTTCACGGCGGCCGTGAAAATTCACACCTCTGAATGTGATTGGCTCTATTTCCAGTTCCATTTTCACGGAGTTTTTAGTAAACCGAATCACAATTCAATGGCGTGAATTTTCACGGCCGTGAAAAACCATTCTGTCAATTCACTCGTCCAAAATATCAGAGATATAAAAGCACCTTTATTTTTACCAGATCAGGGTGCGGTAGTTAATGAGAATTATGAAAATGTGGGGACAATGGAAACCTTCAATTGGTTGTTCACCCAGAAAAGACTCTTGGATAAATTTCGTAACACACATGAACGGCAAAAACGGTTAATTTTAATGAATTGGCAAATTGTTAATTATTTTTCTTACTTGATCAGAAGTGAACATCACAAGCTGACCGCCGACTGTCGCAAGGCCTCGCTCTTTGTACTGAGGAAACATTTTATGTCTGGCAGCAAGAAAAGCGTATAGATTGCTAATGGATCCTCCTGGCGCTAGAATTGAATCACCAGTATTCCAGCCAATAAGTTCACGCATTTTTTGTAAAACCACATTTTCCATAAGAATAAAAACAGGAGCTATTTCATAGGTAAACATATTTGTATTTGCAGTTGCAGTAAGCCATTCACCAGCCATAGACACAAGATCTAGACCACAGGAGAGTTGATTGAAAAAATGAGGATGTCCTGTGAATCAAAGAAGAAAAAAAACCAACTATAGGTATAGCAAATATATTTTGACCTCCGTCAAATGTGTGACAAAGTTAAAAATTACAATTTTCCAATTGCATAAATGCTGTCTTTCCGGTTTGACGGTATTTTGAAAAGTCGTGACACTTCTATACACAGAAAATTATAAGGTATTAAAATAAGCTGCAACGCTTATTATTTTAATACCAAAATAGATTAAAATAAGCAAAATTGGATTAAAATAATAAGCGTTGCAGCTTATTTTAATGCCTTTTAATTTTCTGTGTAATAATTAGTTCGTGGCATATGGTGTATAAAGGCCTGAGCAGAATAGAAACGTAACCGGAATCGTAATCGCAAACCCAACCGGAATAATGAGTCAGAGAAGGACAAACAATATGTCTATCCTTCTCTAACTCATTCTTCCGGTTGCGTTTACGATTACGATTCCGGTTACGTTTCTATTCTGCTCAGGCCTTTACATCATACGACATAAACGAATAAAATTATTATAGAAGTGTCACGAATTTTCAAAATTTCAACAAACCGAAAGAATAGAATTTAAGGCCTAAGCAGAATTAAGTATACGAGTACAGGAAATATTAGATAGAAAAGGACATTATTCCCGTTTTGTATACTTGATTCTGCTTAGGCCTTTGTGCAATTGGGTGTATAACTGACACACCTCATTAGTTTTCGATATATGTACCGAAAAAAATAGATACGATTTTTCGGCAGAGAATTTAAAATTAAATTATAATATTTCTGAAAAATATAATGGTATGAAGAAAAATGTTGAATAAATAATTGTAATACATAATAAACTGAAAATTAATTTATATTCTTCATTCCATATTATATTTTTCAAAATTATAATATTCTTTTGAATTCTCCGTCTAAAAATCGTATCTATTTTTTTTTTTTGATATACCGAAATCCGACCGATTCACAAATATTGAATAGGTTTTTATTTCCTGGGTAAATAATATTTTTCAGCTAAAAAGACATTCACTAATGTCTGTTCATTAACTTTTAATTAACTCCTAATTAAATAACACAATTAAACTGAATAAAAGAGTTTTTTTCATTCCAATTTAATTTAGCATATTCGCAAAAAAATTTTATGGCATTCTCTTATTGTTCTTTTGCAGTAACCTCAAAAGCAGTTACTTTAATTAGCCCTGAAATGTGCATCATAAATCACAGTTGAAAATCCATTAGGAAATGCCAAATGCAGTGAAAAATAAATTTCATAATTAATGGTTTAGATAGAATGTACAGCACGCGCCAAACAATTAGAGCAGCATTCAGTTATTGTTTAAAATTTTTGCTTGAAGCTAAAAGTTGAAGGCGCAAGAGGGAAAAGAGCTTTAAGCTCTGACGCTGAGTATGTTGTCATTCGCTCGACTGAACATCGCGCGCGGATCAAACCTAATGCTTCTGTTTGATGGGACCTGGCCCTTCATGTAACTTGGAGGGGAATAGGGCTTACGCCTTCCTTTCTCATATACCGGGTGTCCTGGATTACGTGATTCGGTCAAGTATGCATTTGACGAATAATCCATTAAAATCGTAGTAGGGGACGTTTGCTCTTACATTAGTCGCATGAACGAAACTTCCAGATTATGTCTCAATTTGGCCTATATATATATATATTTCAAACATAATCTATAGAAACATTAAACCAAATTTTCCTCATTTAAACAACGAGATTTGATTTATAACATTGATTTCCCTGAAAGATAGAGTGCACCCAGTAAAAGTAATCAAATCTTCATTTTAGAGGAGTTTTCTCATTTCAATGCAATTTTGAAAAAGGAATTTTTTTCAACAAATCAGCTGCTACAGATGTCCAATTATTTTCTGTTCATTAATTTTCAAACACGCTTGTAACTTTGGTAAATTGTTGCCACATATTTTATTTATTTATTTTATTTATTACAGAGTGTTCAGCGGACCTTGAAATCCGTGAAAAGTCTTTGAATCTATTTTAAACCTTGAAATTCTTGGATTTTTATAACAAAACCTTGAAAATAATTTGTTACTCTTATCTGACAATTGGATTGTTAATAAAGAACTATAATATATCTGGTATAAAATTCTAAATTTCAATTTTTTATTAAAAATACAAATAGCGATCAATTTTATAAATATTGGTAAAATATAAACTTTATATATACATCAATCGATTTGTTTTGATGTCAAGAAAATCTCTGACAAAATTTATTAAAAATTTTCATAAAGAAAAAATTTACTTCAAAAAGTGATTTTTTTCAAAAATTCAAAAATGATTTAATTTATAGATTTTAAGTAAAATATAGACTTCATATAGATTAATCAGTTCGTTTTAATTCGAGAAATTAGTTTTTTGGACAAAAAATAAAATTTACAATGTAAATAATTGTTTGGTAAAAAACGTATTTTCGAATTTTTGAAAAATTGTCAAAAGAAAAATTATGGGGAATATTTTTGGAAATCCTTGTGCCTGATTTTAGATATTGATGACTGCAATAAGTCTACAAAATTTTAGAACAATCCATCAATTGGAGATAATTTTTACACAAGATTTTGTGACGTACATATATTTCTTTAAAACTTCAAATATATGCAATCCAAATAAAAATGAGCCCATATAACCCATTTTCGAATTTTTTTAATTATTCCAGAGGTACTGATGGAAAAATTCAACTTGAGCGAAGACAGCGTTCTAGCTCTCTTCGCAATTGCGTTTAACAATGCAAAAGATTGGGAAAGAGGACGCAAGATGAGGATGAAGTTAGATTTTTAAAGTTCATTTTTGTTGTGTTACTTTTTTTCGTTTATATATTGTATCCTCTATAATCTCATTTTGTTTGAAAAAATAAAAATTTACTAACTAAAATGAAAGGGTTAACAATTTTGTTTATTTCAGTATTTTATTTCGATTTTCAATAATTAATAGTAAAAATAATTTATATAAACAAAATTATTACAAAAGTTAATTGTATTAATTATAAATTATAAATAATAATTACTATTTTAATATTTTTATTATAATATTTTTATTCATAAACCAGATATATAATAAAAGAACTGATTTAAAACTTTACCAATTAGAAATTAAAGTAAACAAACATTTAATAAAAAGTTGAGAAAAATTCGATCCGTGGAAGGAATCAAATAACATAAAAATTGTATGTTATCAATATTGTTTATTGTCACAAAACAAGAAACGACGTTTCGATGACTTGGTTCGTCATCATCTTCAGGTTAAATTTACAAAAAATTAATTTAACCGTTACATCTTAGCGTTAAAATTTAATTTTGCACAGACTATGCTGGCACGTCAGGTTTTTATTTAACCTGAAGATGATGACGAACCAAGTCATCGAAACGTCGTTTCTTGTTTTGTGACAATAAACAATATTAATAACATACAATTTTTATGTTATTTTATTCCTTCCAAGGATCGAATTTTTCTCAACTTTTTATTAAACATTCCGGAAGGGAAAATCCTTACTCTATAAACAAACATTTCTTTATATAAAATCTATATTTTTTAGTTTAAGGAATCACTAAAATTTCAATTATTAATTATAATTTGTGATTTAACTATCTTTATATGATTAAAATGTTAATGTTGAGCAGGAAGAAACATTGTAGTTTTTTCAATACTGTCAAGCCAACCTATTTTTTTGTAATTTAAACAAAATGTTTTACTTGCTATCAATACATCATAATTTATATAATTTTTGTTCACTTAGTTTGTAAAATCTCAAATATTTTTAGCACGAACGGCACTTTATTAATTGCTGAGCTAGAAAATACATACAAACGTGTCTTTTTTTTAATAATGTTAATGACAGGAAAGAGGTTATTAACTGAATTAATTAAACAAAATAATGACATCTGTGGCCCCTTTGATAACCCTATTTGGTCCTTAATTTCAAAATGTATTGTCAGGCCCAGTTCAGGTAAGGTGTTTCATTTGATCATTTCCCTAACTAGGGCCATATTTCGCCTAATCTGGTCCTGATCTGTACCATGTTTCAATTTCTACACGGGATTTTGTATTATTAATAACATTTTGAAATGATTTTTAACTTAAAAAATTATTTTTCGTATATCGTTCAGAGATCATTTTAAGTTAAAATTCATCTTAACCCCCCCCCCAGATACTTATGACGTGTATATGATATAATTTAGTTTTTCTTATACTGAAAAGTTAAATGTTCCACAAATATGCCTATATCTTAATTTCTTTTTAATAATAATATTCTTTGATAATTAAATTTTCGTCGTAGACATATATATATCGGTGAATGAAAGCGCACTTCCTGTATTTGGCAAAAGCTCTTAGGAAGTAGAGATTGAGAAGACAGCTGACCACATGTTGTAGGGTGCATTGAGGCAATATGTATAAGAATTCCCTGGCTCGTGATATCGACTAGTGTTATCCGAGCCGTTTGTCGCACTGTTATTCGCAATTATCTTGGTTGGCGGATCGAGGCACGCGTCCGGTGGGGCGAATTGTACCAAGAGGGCGAACGCAGACGGTCCTTTTTTCCAGATCTCGCGGGGGTGGTTTGCTTCATAGGGTCGAGGGTCGATGGTCCGGAGCGCCCGCATTTTGCGCGTCACACGCGTCGCTGCACGACTAGATTGTTTGCAGAGGCTCTCAAACTCCGAGACGAATTTTTTTTTATAGTTTAAAGAACAAATAAGAACAAAATGATTTAATTTTTGAGACACTTAATCTTGTACTATCACAGAATGCAGGGAAAAAGAGATTTATACTCACAGAAAAATTTTTGTTTGTAACAATAAAATTTTATGTTAACTCAACCTTAATTCTGCTACTGCAAAACTGAAATTAAAATTCTGCAAACGTTTATTTAGTTCAAAGAAATTATGTTTTCTTTTTCTTAAAACCTTTAATTTATCATAATTTTCTTAATTGCTAGAAAAAAAATCTTCCACTAAAGTATGGATGTTGCACTAAAATTGTACGAATATCTTAAAGCTCATATCTTTAAAGAATTTTTCATTGTAGGAAACATTTCAGTGATAATTCATATGAATAGAATTTTACATAACAAATTATTTTTCTTTCAAAAGTTAGTAAGAAATATTACATATCATTTTCATCGTTTTTTTTTTCTTAAAGCACACAAGAGAGGGAGGAAAGTAAAGAAAGAAAAGTCGAACGGGAAGACCTGCTTTGAACAGACCCCCGCTCAGTGATAAATTAGGGGCTTAGGATTTGTATGAAGAGAAGTGTGTAACCCAGGCTCAACTCTAGTACCAACTAATCAATCATGCAATCTATAAAACAGAAAACCTATACAGAATACAGTTTTAATATAGTACTTTGAAGGATTTAATATTTTATATGTAAGTTAATAATTTTACATGAAAATCCAGTTACAATAAACGGAAACGAATTTATTATGTAACTAAGTATGAAAATTAAATTATTCTTTAAACTAATTTTAAACATATAGTAGAATATTTATACTGATTTGTTTTTTAGAATTCGGCTTGTAAAAGTGTGTAATTAAACTGTTTTTTTTTTTTGGAAATTACGGATCAATTTAATTTTTTTCAAGTATGTAAATAAAAATAAATATTTTTTTATTTAAACGCACAGACACGCATAACTTATACGTAAACATACACGCATGCAGGTAGGGTATGGATGGCCCTTCTGACGCTCACCCCTATTTACTGTTTCACTCCACCCTACAAAAGGGAAAATCGTGTAGAAATGGCTCTTAATTACACCGATCCCATTGAATTTACCACCCTAGGTTTATGCCACGTGCATCAGTGCCACAAAACTATTTTTTGACTTCCCCTAGATCACTGAGAGTATCCACTTTGGAATTTCTAAGACGATTCTGTATATTGTCAGTGATTAATTGTTTTTCACCTAATTCTAATTCCGCTTACAGATATTTAAAAATTCTTTAAACAAAAGAAAAAAATTTTTTTTTAAAAAACTTTGACGTATTTGTCTAAAAATATTAACCCGAGGGTTTTTGAGGTTGCTGAATCCAAATTTGATGCCAGAAGTAAAAAATTCCATCCATTTAAAAAATTTCCACCATTTTAGAACGTCAAAATTGAAACAGCAATTTTTAATTTTTTAATTCTGACATTAAATTTTGATTCAGCGACCCTAAATACCTTTAATAACTGATTACGATACTTACATTAGATTTAAAAAATTCAAAATAATGGAAAGTTTCATTAAATCCAGTGTTTGGAAGTAACGCTTTACTTTTAACTTCGTTACCGTTACCGTTACTTATTTTAGATAACAATAATGGTAACGCGTTACTATTTTGAAAACAGTAACGGTAACAAGTTACTTTTTTGGGTAATTTGTAACGAAAAATCGTTACTTTTATCGTTACTTTGTAATTTAGATGTGATGTCACTTATTAATGCTTAATGTTATGTTGTTACCATGCAGATATATAGGTGCCTTTTTACCTAAAACTTATAAGAATTTTGGAAAAAGAACGATGTTACTATTTTACGGTAACGGCGTTACTGTCAAAAAAGTAAAGGTAACGAGTTACTTTTATAAAAAAAGTAACGGTAACGTGTTACTATTTTTTAGTAACGGGACAAACATTGAACAAATTAATCGTATTCTCCTCCAAACTTGTTTTGGATCGCTAAATCCAAATTTAATTGCCAGCAACTTTAAATTTCCAATGATATTCTAATAGGTAAATAAATATAAATTTTTAAAAAATTTTAAGTAGATTTAAAATTTAAATCTATCTTTGAAAAGTATTTTGAAATGTGTCTTATCGCTATATCATTTATTATTTTTATAAATATATTGAAAGATGGTGTGATAATGTAAAATATAAGTGAGAGGAATCTCTTTTGCTTATAGATATGACAGAAAGAGATAAGATGGTTCATAAAAAAAAGTGCAACAGAGATATTGAGATTTGGGGTACATAATCTAATAACGAGTTTTTGTTGGTCTCTGCACGTATCGAGCACACGTCTTTCAATAGCAAAAGGGCGACACCCCTGGCATCGGACGATTCAGTTTGGTTAGATTTCTAGCTTAAGTTTGGTTAGCTTTGGTGTTTGCCAATGGTCCTAGCCATTGTGCATTAGCATCTATTCAAGCCAGTAATCGAATCCAAACCGAGATAGTGAACTTTCGCGAGAACCAACGAGGAGGATTTGTGGTTGACTTCCGTAATTCTCGTATAGCTCTGATAAGCTTATTTGTCGACTATACAATTTCAAACAATCTTCACTATTTTTTTTTTATTATAAATTATATTTTTTTAAATTTTATTTACAATCATAACTTCCATAATTTTTATCAAATCAAAAAATAAGTATTTCACTGAAAAAATCTGAACTCATTTTTTTATAATTCAAAATGAGCCAATGTTAAACGACTTAGAACGTGGCGACATCTACTTGATGTCCCTCACAGCACCGGATATTTAAGGATATCCTAAGGATATCCAAACCGCCGGAATCAAATGGATATCCCTAGGACGTCCCAAGGATATCCTTAAATATCCGGTGCAGTGAGGGGTACACGTTACTTATTTTGAGATTAGGTTTTTTTTGTGTTTTCATAAAAACTTCAAAAGAAAATGTTCAAGTAAAAAAAAAATTTTTTTAAATGAAAATCTCACGTGAAATGCCCCCAAATAATATAGTTATTTTAACAAAATTGATTTTGTAATATTCAAAAATGTTTCTGTTTGCCAAATCTCTTTCCCTACTGAGAGTAGATAGTTTTTTAAGGTCTTTTTTTCTCTAGGTTACTTATCTGCAGGATTTCCTTAAGGGGACTATAGATCGTGAACGGGAATGAAAGTATGCTTATAGTCACCTTATCTTTTCCCCTGTGAATGCGTATGCTAAATTGAATATGAAAATATGCGGACTTATCGCCCTATTCACTCAGCGTTAGTTGGAGAGACAACGAGCCGTTAAATTTCCCTGTCTAAAATTCTGATCAATTCACTTACATGTTATAATATTTTATCATTATATGTTATATAAAATTATTATCATTGGATTTTAATAAAAAATTTAAGTTCTTTGTATCTGCCCGAAATTAAATTTCATTTCTCTCTAAATTTGAATTAGTTAAATTCACTTTTAGGTTATGTAAATATTCACTAATAAAATAGTAAAAAAATAATTAATTCAGTAGTAGAAAATTATTAATATAATAGTAAAAATAAAATAACTAGTTTTTATCTGAAAGAAACATTTATTTATACAGTTAAGTATTGTACATTTTTTATAACATTGAAATCTTAATTTTACTCCATAAAATTATAAAATAAAAACTTAAGAGAGTTGGCAAATTGCACATTAAATACAAAGTGGAATTTAAATTCAAATAAATTATCTCACTTTTTACATTTTAATATATTTTCTAAATTACAAACGAACTGAGTACGTTATTATGCAGATAGTGTTGTTCACGGCATAAAATGGCGTCATATTGTTTCATTTTTGCCTGGAGCACGATGTGTTTGCGCAGAGCAAATGCGCATGCTGAGTTAAATATGGCGCGATTATTTGAAATAATTTTTATGTTAATAAAAATATATATTTAAATAATTACATTAATAATTCTTACTATTTTATTATTATATAAAAATATATTATATTATATAAATGATAACGAGAAAGTAATAAATATATTATGTATATTTTATTATTAATTATATATACTTATATATTATATGTATATTAATTATTAACATAATGGTTCTAAAAATCAGTTCATTTAAAAAAATATATAATTATTTACACTAATATAATTAATAACAGTCAACATTAGCTTTAAAATAATTTACAAGATTTATTGATTTATGTAAAAATAATTAATATTAGTAATAATTAGTCAAACATTTAATTACTAATTTACATTTAGAGAGTAAAGCAAAAAGTCAACCAAGATTTTACTAACAATTAGTTATTTTTAACTACTTCAGATTTAGAGAGTTTTAAAAAAATTTCAAAATTTTGAGCTAAAAGATGTAAAAAAAATGCTTTGAATTGCCATCCGTACTAATACTTCTCGCAAGTAGTAATATCATCGTGCAGTGGGACTTTCTTTCCCTATGTCTGACGTACACTAACTACTTGCAAGTAGTATAGTAAAGGTGATATGGCATGAAGTTAGCGCTAAAACGATGTTTTCTTTCATAAAAATTGAAATACCTTTTGACTATTAATATTCATTTTGTTTTTTTAAGAAAAAGTGGAATCATAAGAAATGTTGTAATACAATAAAATAACATTTTAAAAAATCTTATTAAAGAAATTAAAACTGTCAAAAAATATTTCTAAAAATTTTTTTAGATTAAAATTTTGATTGAACGTTTAAAGAAGTTAGGTCACGTGTTATGTGCAAAAATTGTGATATTTTCCTGAATTAATTATAATTCAGTTTATTAGAAACTTTTTAAATGAAAAGTATGTTTGCAATTTTTTGTTTTGCCTCTATTAGGCACTTTTTTACAATTTCTAATTGTGTACAATTAAAATTTTACGATGAAAATGAAATTGTATTTAAAGTACAACTTCAGTTCGATATTGGATTAGATATTTTTAATTAATTGTCATTAAGGTAATATAGAATGCACAAATAGATTGAAATTTTCTATAGTGTAAACGCAATTAAATTACCAAACAATTTTAATGAAAGCACAGAAAAATAAAAGGCATTAAAATAAGCGTTGCAGCTTATTTTAATGCCTTTTAATTTTCTGTGAGAAAATTATTTTTGAATAATTACCTGTTTTTACTTGATATTTTAAAGTTGTTGAGCAATCAATAAGAAGCTGTTGTAATGTAACTCCAGTGTCAGGTATTTCCAAGTCAAGTAGCTGTATCATTTCAGATGGATGATGAAAGTCTAAAACTTTCGAATTGCGATCATTTGTCGACTTAATGAAATCTAGTAAGATGTCGACTACTTTCATCAAAAATTCTTTTGTCGCTGGATATCCCTCGACATTTTGAGGCAGAATATCTGATAGTAAAGAAAGAATAAGAAAAATTAGTTTACAATTTGCAGATGATATATAAATATATGTATTATTGTTTTCGAGATAGAAAAATTCTTAATAATCTTACAATATTTTTAATATTTTAGAATTTTTGAAAATTAAGGAATAATAAAAAATGATTGAAAAATTATGGTATCATAAAATTATTTTAATAGTAGGTATCTAGGTATTAGAAACGATTATTTCGTGCACAATGACAAACAAAAACATAGACATTATAAACAAACATGAATTTTTGTGTTTTTTCTTACATAGATGAATTTTGTTCTTCCTTTGTTCTTTCTTCCACCCGAATCTTCTTTTTTGTATCTGATTTATGGTGATAAATTTTATGTTGATATGAGTATGATTTCACCTCATCAAACAATTGAAAGTATAGACCTACAATGACACACTCTCACTTGTTTGGTGGGATGATAACAACGTCATCTTCTGCAAATTTTTTTTATTTCGTTGATTTCTTCTCTAACTTATACATGTTTTACTACTCATTAATTTTTAGGTTAGGAAACGTATATAGTTTACTTTAATATTTATTTTATATAATTTACAAGATTCTGCAGTACTACCAATATGAAAATATCACAATGTAGAACATAACCTATTTTTTTTAAGTTTTTCTATTTTGAGTAACTTGAAGTTGGCTGTTAACTAATTTTGATGCAGATCTTCTGAGGTGCAACAGAAATGAGTCCAGCTTTTTTTCTGTGAATAGTATATATGTCTACATGAAATGATAATCCTCATAATAATAATCTTAATAATTGTGAAGAAATTTTATAACAGTAAAAAAATTGATAACATCAAATATTGTATCCTCTTTGAGCCGTCGGTTAGACAAGGAAAATCCCAGGCTTCTTTCCATGGGATTGGCCTATAATCTTACCCCATCAATCTATGCCCTCAAGTTCGACATTCTCTTTTCTTTTATAGTTTTCGTGAAGCGTAAATAAGTCTACAGTATATACTGTCAAATCCCCATTATGGTTTTTGGACCGAAAATAATGAAAAGATATATAGTTGAATTAGGAAATTGATAAATTTGTTAATTCAATATAAGGACAGTATAAATCTTCCAACAAATCAAAGATTTGTAGAAAAAAAAAGATTTGTTTTAATGCAATAGAAGATTGAAATTTTCGAATGCTTTACTAACATTTAAAATGTGCCTGAATTTTTTAGCGCAAAATGAACGAAATCATTTTTTGGTCTCTAAACTTTTTAAAATAAAAATAAAAAAATAAAAGAATATACATTAAATATTTAATAAATTATTTAAAGTTTTTGTTGAATCAAATAAATCATTTTCTTTGTTTTAAAGCACAAATTTCTTTGATTCAAAAAAAATTTTATTTAAAGAAATTTTCAGTTTTAAATTAAAAAACTATTTCTTTGACTCTATTATCAGTGCAAAAATTCCTTTGTTTTAAAAGACAAATTTTTTAATTCAAAAAAATCTATTTAAATCAAAGAAACTTTCTTCTAATCAAAAACGCTGTTTTTATTTTAAAGAAAATTTAATTCTGAATGAATAACTAAACAAGTCAAAAAACAAATTTCTTTAAATCAACAAAAACTTTTTTCTAGGTGGTAGAATGCAATAGTTTATAATAAAATTAGAAGTTAAAAATAATAGTAAACAAATTTTTTTGGTTTCATTTAAACGTTCAGAACTTTAAGCACAGCATTTACGAAAATTTATTAAAAAAATTATCGTATAGATAAAATCTTTTAGAACTCTTGTATGAACTTCACAACTTGAACGTCAATCATATTAAACCATTCACTATTAGTATGGTTGTTTGGCGCCAGCTGTGTTTAAGACCCTCGCATATATAGGTCCGCTTTTAATCAAAGCTTCTTTGGAGGGGTTGGATGCGAATTAGTTCCTTCGATTTACAAGCGGTATTATAAGGGTAATTTATAGTGATAAAAGAAATATAGGGCAGTTAAGTGTTAAACAATTTTTCATTTTAGAAAAATCTACGAAACTTGCTGTTGCAACTAAATCATTTAATAACCGTAATAATTTTTATGCAATTTTGATCGATTCAACCATTCTATGAAGACTAGAAAGAAAAATTTAGATTTTCTTTAACAAAAATTTATTGTATTGAATTCTAAGAGATTATTTATAATAAAATATTTAAAAATTATAATAAAAAAATATTGCTACCAATAAACGACCCATTTTGTTGAGTCAAGTAAATATTTTTTAAATTAACTATATAAAAATATTGTTGACTATCAAAAATGGTCTCAATAAAAAAAAATGTTGTTATAATAACTTAATTTTTTCTCTCCAGTGAAGCGTATGTATGTGGGATACACCTCAAATTAAATTCCACTGTCTTTATTTGATTAAGAGAATTTTGAATGCAAAATATTTGTCCGACGGCACGAACCAGCCCTTATCGCGCCACGGCATATGCCAAAATGCAAACATTGTGAAGCAAAGACGAACCCTTCCATCCCCCTATATGGTATGTAATCTGTCCTCAACCAGTCATCAAATCAGAATTTTTAAGTGTAGTTCTAAATCCTCTATTACTATGCACCCTTTCACTCCTCCGATATATATTGATAGGTACAAAAATGTTGTAGTCAAAATTTTTTTACTTTATATCAATTTTAAAGCTCTCTACAAAAAATTAATTTTTATAATATATGTGACGCTTCGCGACAAAAGCTACCTAAACTCCAAAAAATTTAGAGTATATTTTTGATTTTTTAAATAAAAATATATAAAGAGGATCAACTTTTTATACAAACTATTAATGTTTAAGTTTTTATTACATCCAAAAATATTCAATAAAATCTATTTTTGATTTTTCCAAATTAAAGAAGAACTTTTTATAGAGATAGAAATGTTACTAAACATAACCTAAGATTTTTGGGAGCTTAGGTGCCTTTTTGTTACCTAGCGTCACATATAGTGCGACGAAAATTATACAAAAGTGATACAAATTTTCAAGTTCAATTAGAATATATGGTTAAATCGACGGAATTATACGATTTTATGTTACTCCTGATTTAAATCATTTTAATTACATTATACAATTTTTTTTAGTATCAGAATCTTTTTCCTAAAATATTTATCAGAAAAAGCTAACAAAATCATAATTTTTATGCTGCTCATGTAAAATAAAAAATTGTATAATAAAAAAGGTATTTGATTCAAATAATCGGTTACTTGATTATTATAAAAAAATGTAAAAAATATAAAAAATTATTATGAAATTAATATATTTACTTGGACCAAATAATTTTTATTTGAGTCAATTAAATGGTGTTTGTTTTAAATACAGAAATTATTATTGGTTCAAATAAAAATTATTTGGTTCAAGTAAATATTTATTTGATAATAGTCAAGTAACCGAGTATTTGAATTAAATAAATTTTTTGAAAAAATTAAAATTCAGGGCAAAATAATTAAAAACCATTTTTAATGCGTCTAAAATTAATAAAAAGTATATAAAGAATAAAAATTTTTTGTTTTCAGTTAATTTTTTCAAAAATAACAGAAATTAAAAGAATTTTCCGTTTTCACCTTTCAATATTTTGAAAGATAATTAGCATAAACGATATTATCTGATTTAGAGCACTTTGCATTTTTAGACCAAAATTTTTTGTAGTTTTTTGCCCGAAATTTTAATGTTTTTCAAAAAACGAATTTGTGCATAAGAGAGCTCAAGTAATTTTTCTAATGATAAAAAAGAAGTGTAAAATTCTACAAAATTTATTTTTAAATGATCATTTTAATTTATTTACAAATTTTTATTCATGTACAAACAAATTTTTTCTCTTTAGTTTTCGAAGTCAAAAGTTCCAAATATTTGCCAAGAATCAATAAATTTTTACAGGAAGGTCGTATACAAGATTCGCAAATATAGGTCAAATTGGTACGTTTTTAAAGTATCTACAATTTATTCGAGATATATTAGAACTTAAATAAAAACTCAAAATTAAAATTATGAAAAAAATTATGTTCTTTAAATTAAAATTAAAGAATTATTAATTAAATTCAAATCAGTTATGAAAATAAAAGTAATAATAATCTATATTAGGAAAATAAGTTAATAATGAAGAATATAAGTAAATAAAAATTAGAAAAATAAAAATAAGTTAAAGATTGAAATAACAACAAAATAATGTTGGTCTACCAATTAAGTATAACTACTAAAACTAAAAAAATGTTTATAAAAAAAGGAATTTAACAATAGTCATTGATTTAAATTTTAAAAGTGAAGTAAGTAGAACATGCTTTATATATAGGCAGACATGCGTAAGTAGTACAACTCAAGATAGAATTTCTACAATAGAGGAACAAAATTGTTCTTTCAGCAATAAACAATATTAATATTCTTTTTAATATTCTAATTTATTTTAATTTAATTGATGACATAAAAAAATTTCAATTAATTAAAGTCAATCTAATTATCCTAATTTTAATTTTTCTAATTCCAAAATAATTTTTTTCCAAAAATTTATTTACCAAATGTAACCTGGACAGTAATAAAAAGGACCTAACAGCCGAAAAAATCAATTTTTTATTGCTTGATGATTCTGATAGAAAAAAGTTTTCTCTATCAGAATCACCAATCAATAAAGAATCGATTTTTTTCGGACGTAAGGTCTCTTTTAACTGTTCAGGTCACAAATCATTTTTTTTTTCAAATAAAAAATATTCCAAAAATAAAGTGTGAAATTTAGAATCTGACGTTATAACTGACACTTCTTAAATACGTTAAAACATCTACATTTTAAACATGGATTGTGCGATATGTCGAAACAGTATTAATAATTTGTTCCTGAGCTTGCAATTTCTTCGCATCAATTCCTCTTTTAATTTTCTGTTCTAGTTGTAATTTTATTGTCTAAGCATTATTTCTGTATTAGCTTCCTTTTTTATCATAACATGCGTCCAACAAATCTTATCAGACATATTTGAGTGTTTATAATATAAAAAGCAATTGATGTGAGATTTTAATTGAATTATTTCTGTCATAATTGTTTACAAGAATTTAGAACTTTACATCGAATAATTTTTTACTACAGTCGCAAATTTTATTTTTTAAAGGAAAGCAACATGAAGTTGCAGTGGAATGTGTTTCGTTCGAAATTTTCAGATAACAAATAAACATTGTAAAAAATTGATTTTGGAAATTTTAAATTTTTGAAAAAATGTTCATTGATAAAATTCTTTTGGGAAAAATTATTTGGAAAAATTGACACCCTACCTTGTCCCTACCCTGTTAAATATAAACATAACAAATAGAGACTAATCCATCTGTAGCTTTCAGTAACAATAAAAAACAAATAAATTAAAATTTTAATAATGTTAAATAAATTTCATTACAATTTTTAATTAAAATTATTAGAAAAATTTAATAATTTTAGGAATTTTGGATTAGGAAACAGAATATTGCACGTAATTTGTTCTATGAAATGGTTAATTTTAATAATAAGTTCAGATCATGTAAAATTTTGCCAATGAAAAGATGATAAGTATATAAAAAACGAACAGAAATTTGAGAAATATTTAAAATTAATATTAAGTTATAAAATAAAATATTCTATAAAATTACTTTCGGCCACTGTAAATATTTAATGACATGCGTGCAAGGCATAACAATTGTACAATTATATTAAAAAACTCACCAGAATATTTAAGATTGCAATGCTCCCTAGAAAGGGAGTATGTGTTTTCGGAACTCATGATTCTGGTTGGGGAATGTGTCCTGGCAAAATTCTGAAAAATGAAAACAAAATTTATGTTAATCACTTTAAATTGTCATAAAATAATATATAAAATAGTAGAATTAATATTAGAAATACGGGATAATAATAACAAGACTTGTTTAGTGAATATAAAATAATGTGATAAAGCATGGTGAGATGAGATGAATAGTGGTCTTACATATAAGTATTCCTTGATTGCTGTGATTTTAGTGCCGATCATTTGTACATTATCCATGTCTCTGCAGTGCTCCTCGCCTCAGTTCCTACAACAGTCAATAACAAGAGTTCCGTGTAAGACACGTTTTTGAACCCTTCAATTAAAATTACTCGTATTTTTTTTTTTTTTTTGCAAAGCAATAAGGAACATCATTGACGAAGTTCGAGAGACAAGAGCGACCATAGAAACATGGACATTATTCACTATTAAATTAAAAATAAAAAACTTTTATGTAAAAATGCAAAATAAAATGAGAAAACTAAAATTTGTATATACATAATTTAATAATGCAAAAATTCTATTGCCAAGTGTCAAGAAAATTTTCACATTTAATTCTAAATCAATAATGTCATTTTGAAAATTTCTTTTGATGTATTTCAATATTGGTATATGTTTATCTTTTTATTCTTTTCAAACTGAACAAAATTTTATAATCCCTGTATGTAAATAATTTTTAAATTTTATTCTTTTTTTCTCCTCTGTTTAATATATTATTTTTTCACATAATATTCAAAACAAATATTTCAATTCGACAATGAATCCTAATATAATTACGAATTAGGGGCAACCAACGCACTTTAATGATACATAAATTTGACATATAAAAAAATCTGTTTTTTATAAAATGAGTGTGTGAAAATCAATAAAATGAAACTCACCTTTTTTTTGTCCTTTTCTGCTTTTGGATTAACGAGCACGAAATATTTGTAAAGATGAGAACAAGGACAGTGTTTGAGGATAAGGATGGAAGACGAGAGAGCGAATTTCCGACGACGACGGGCTTTGGGGTGGTATCCGCGGGACTGCGACTAGCGACGCCTGACCGTCTGGCGTTATTCGGCCTGGGGTCTGTCTGACCCAGTTTCTCCTCGAGCTTGCGGGGGATGATTGTGAGAAGGCGTGGTCGTTACGTAAGGGTGGGAAATCACGTGGGCGTTAAACGGGCGGGCTTCCCATGAGCCAATAGTTGGTCTTCGCGTGACGTCAGAGGGGTGTTTTTACTACTTTGGAACGACATATACGATGACGGTTATCCAGAACTTTACGCTCAAACATTTTGAGATCCATCGAATTCAAGTCTAATGTAAAGAATACTTATATATATACATCTACAATAAGAATTTTCCACACATACATTTTTTTTTATGAATTTCAATAGTATACGAAGAAAAATGGATATTTCATTTACATAGCTAGGTCATACTTTTATTTATACTCATTTAGCTAATAATCGGTTCAATAATGTTAAACGAACATTTTTCTTCTTGTATTGTATAAATATATGGATGATTATTCAGAAATTTTCAAGGAAGGGATTTTTTTCAAAACTAAGTGGAAATTCGATTTTATTTGTTCTTTACAAAAAACAATTTTTTTGCTAATTAAAGAGCAACGGATTCGCTTAAAACTCGTGGGTTTTTAAGATCGCTGATTACCAATTTTGGTAACTGTTTTTTAAAATTCAAAATGGCGGATCCAATATGGCAGACGAAAAAATTGAAAAGTAATCTAATTTTCTTGAAATTTGTTATTTTTGAGCTTTTTATGGGTCGACGATTATAAAGATGTCAGTATTTTAAAATTCAAAATAGCGGATCCAATATGACTCTAAAAACCCATTATTAACAAGTTTCAAGATAAAACCGCTACATTTTTTAAAAAGATTTCATCTGTAATGGATCCCCCATTTTGGATTATAAAAAACTGATATAAAATTCCTAATAAGTAACCCAAAAACCCCCAAAATAGCAAGTTTCAAGCAAATCCGATTAGTTTTTAATTTTTTCGTTTTCCATATTCGATTGACCATTTTGAATTTTAAAAAACCTACTTCAAGTTTACAAGCAGTGACTACAAGAAACTCTGAGTAACGTGTTTTAAGTGAATCCGATGAATTTTGAAAAACTAGTCTGCCATATTGAATCCGCCATTTTGAATTTTTCTAAACATAAGTTTGATATCCAGAGGATATGATGTATACCGAAATGCTATTTTTCAGCTGTTAAATATTATTTTCCACTAAATTGATGTAAAAAATTATAGCTTTTTATATGGTATCATAGTTGAAAAAGAATCAGACAAAGAATCGGAACAAAAGTAAAAAAAAAAACAAAAATTAAAAGTTTTTGTGCAAAGGAAACGATTTAGATAACATAACCCATAAATTTTTAATTTTGATTTAAATGCAATTTCTAAATATTTAAAATTTCGACGAAAATTTGAATTAATAAATTAATTAATAATATTAATTTAAAAAAAATTGTTTGAATACAAAAACATAAAAATGCTTCTATTTGAAGAACAACCCATATAAATCATTTCGTGTTGATCAAGATAATGAAATAAATTAAGACATTATTATAAAAATAAATAAAGAAATTATTAATATTTAAAAATTATTTTTTTTGTCTGTATAGAAAAATCGGCGAAATTTCATTGTGCGGTTAAAAAGAAACCATGGGGAAACAAAAGAGAGAAAGATGAGAGTAGGATTTTCAGTGTGGTTAACTGTGACGTTTATAGTACTTAAAGGATTACTACGATGAAGGACAATACTGTATAGGTATATATAACTATATGAATAAAGTATATTCATCTCTATAGAAAGCAGAACGGAAGCGTTATAGATATACTATATCCAGATAAAAGCAATAACGACTATATAGACACGTTTGAATATACCATTGTTGATATATTCCTCTATACAATATTTCTTGGTTTCTTGTTCTACATAATTTAAATGAAAAAAAATACATTTTTAACACTTTTTATAAAAAAAATTTGTATATTCTTTAATAAAAAATATATAAACTACCAAAGTAAAATTTTGGATGCGATTGTGTAATCATTTAAAATTCCTCTTTCACTTACACTATCATATTTACTTTTATCTTTTTTATTTTTACTTTTACTTTAATTTTGATTTTTGGGCCCTTAGTCACAACATATATACAGCACTAATAATATTTCGTGAAAAAAATTCTGAGTCCAGGCATAAGAGTTGGCCGGAATCTTTTTTATGGCAGGCTTAATAGTTCTGTTCAAGAAAATTTTGCCTACCGCTACCTTTTTTCACCTGTTCCTAGAAAAAAAACTGTCTACAGAAATGACCAAAATCGCGAAAAGAACGATAATTACACTTTTTCCAACAAATTGAATTAATTGTTGGGTTTAATATTTATGCACAGAAATTGGATTCATTAAAATCGGCCCAGTAGATCGAGAAATAACACTGTCTTCTTTTTTTTACAATAAAAACAATAATAATTAATATTTTTTAAAAATTCAAAAATGGCTTTATTCCGAAGGATTTAATGAATAAATGATACTTTTTTCAAATTTTTTCAATGAAGATTTTCATATAAAAGTGTCATGCAAAGTCAGGTAATTTCTAAAGTAACAAAAAATAGGGTGCATTTTGATCTATTTTTGCGCCTGTCAGAAAGAAAATTTTTTTTGGAGAAACGGCCTGAAGTATACAAGCTTGTGAGATTCTAAGCTTTCCAAATATTGTTTCTGTTTTTTCCTAGCAATTTTTTTTAAAGGATAATTCAAAGTGAAAGTCTATCATTTTTCAGGGGCCTTGAATTTTCTCGCGGATAGTATTAACATAAATATTTGGATCAAATAATTATTATTATTATACAAATAAATATAATTATATAAAATAAATATATAATTTTATTTAATTCTAATATATATATATTTTTTGCAAATGTTTCTAATTTTTCTTCTACTGATATAATTAATATTTTTATTCTCAGAACCAAATAAATATTTATGTATTTCAAATAAATTTTATATGATAAAAAATTTAATTGCTCTGGAATAGAATTCTATTTGTGTTAAATAATTTTTTTTTTATTTAAAACAAATCAAAATTTTTATCAAATAAACACAGATAAAAGATTTCTCTGGATGTATAGAACTTTTTAAAATTATATATTAGTTTTTCAATTAATGATGATTTTGATTTACTTTTTATTGTCAAAATAATGTAAAATTATCGTGAAGATAGATTCTAATATCATATTGATACTATAATCTTGTACAATATTAATGTGGGAAAGCTGAATTTCTGATTGACCCAATTTTGGGAAAGTGGTATACCAATTATGGCACAATAGCAAATTAAAACGACATTGTTTCGTACGTTATATATATTTAAAAGCATTTAACTTTTGCATGAAAATGAAACATGTCGATTTCAATAAAGATTATTATTTTTGTAACAATGCTAATGCGAATATCGTTTTTATATGATGGATAAAATCAATAATGTCCCATGTTATATGCAGATGTCCATAAATACGTTATATATGGAAATGTGTCTAAATTGGCATGTCGGTTTCCAAAATTGGGACTGGGTGTTTCTAATTTTTCTTCTACTGATATAATTAATATTTTTTCACTTTCCTTATATGTTGTATTGTAATTCTAATGTGGTATGTTTTTACTTTTTCTTCTACTGATATTATCAATTCTTTTTAAAATTTATAACATTATTACGTAAAGGCTGATATTGGTCAAAATATTGAAACAATATTCGATCAAGAAATTTGTTTTATAATTCAACAGACGTAAAATCTGGAAAAGTAATTTTATCGTTTTGAGGTTCAAAAGAATAGGTACAACAAAAAATGCACCATGACATTTATTTGTTCGAATATAACTTTAATATTTTAAAAAATACAAAGTAAATTATTCATATTTTAAAAATATAAACATCAAAATGAAAAGATCAAAATGAAATATTATTGCGTATATACAAACAGATATACAATTTGAAAGTGTAACAAATAACAACTAATCTTCATATATGCAATCTATTGTCATAATTTCAATTATTTTTCATATGTGGTTGTTATAGAACTTAAAAAATGCCTATAATTTCATCAATGACAAAAAGAAACAAAAGAATTGTCATAATAAAATTATTTCAAGTAGAAAAATAAAAAGGTGAAGTGTCCGTATGTCGCTAACGGGATAAAATAATGATAATGACTTGTAACGTGACCTGAAAACTCGGTGATAGGAGTACATTACCGTTGGCGGTAATGCAATTGCCAACGGAACAACAGCTAGAAATTGCTGTGACGCTTGCGCCAAGAGTTCCTCGACCCGTAACGTACAGACTTTGAGAAATGAAGAGGTAGGGGGTTTGGAGGACAAAATGGACGTCGGCCAATGGGGATGCGGGACAATATGGCCGCGAGAGGATTTAATCAATATTTCCTCCGACCTTAGAAGGGATGAGGTTATGTGTAAAGAGACCTTCACAGCTCTCAAACGGATATATATGTATAAATATACCACATTTTGTGTATATGGTCCTCTTTTACACGCATATATAGATATGCACTTCAAATTCACATTAATGTATTATATATACTTTCACAGTAAACGGAACTATGGTCAAAGCGGTCATAACTCGTTTTGAACTCATTAGTGTGATAAAACATAAAGTACTATTGATTCTATTTCCATTGATTCATGTCTCTCACCTATTTGAAGTTGAACAATATATTTTGTATGCGGTCTTCAAATTGTCCACTTTTACAAAGAATAAAAAATTAATTCAACTAGTTTGAAATTTGTTTTCAATTGTTTCCTTATTAGTATCGTTCATAAAAAGAAGTAAAATGGACGGACTTGCATTTATTTTATAATTAGAAAAAAATAATGTTTAGTTTTAGATAATTAATTTTATACAATATATGCATTTAAATGTCTAAAATAAGCGAATATAAATATATGTAAAAGAGTTGACAAAATTTTCAACTCATCCTTTAAAGAATACTGAATAATGAAGGCTCACCTAAATAGTGGCAGAGCTCAATTAAGGTACTTAGGCATTTCATGCACTTA